ATGAAGTAGTTGGGTGGGGGGGGGGGGGGGGGGGTGACCCCAGCAGTTACCCACACAGGGTGAGACTCGACCTAGTGTCGCCATTGGGACAAATACCATAGAATTCGTGCAGTAGGTTACAACTACTGCTAGTAGTCTAGTAACACAGGACGATGTGAACACCCCTCGTTTTGGACTCTCCCTTTTTTCACTACAGTACTGCAGATATCCGGTTCACTCCGCGCGTCAGGTCCGGTAACTCAAGACGTCACACTAACCTCTTCATTGTTCACATAAAAAATACCACCGTTGAACAAGCGAAACAAGTTTTAAACCAAGTTTGAGTTAAACTGATGAGCTAAATATTATGGACATAATTAAATATCACAACTGTATTTAACATTCGCATCATGATAACAAGCTGTATAATCTTTCACAAAAATTATTAGTAAAAAAACAGAGGCGTAGCGAGGGGGGGGGGGGTGCGGACCGCACCGGGTGACACCATTTAGGGGAGTGACACCAAGGCAAAAAATAGCAAAATATATAGAGAAAAACTTGGAGGGGGGGTGCAAATCAAAAGTTCGATGGGGGGGGGGAGCAAATCGAAAGTTTGAGAATGGGGGTGAAAATCGAAATTTTGAGGGGGGGGGGGGTGCAAATCGAAAATTTGAAAGTTTGTCCCCGGGAAGGGTCGCTGCGCCTCTGGGAGGGTGACACCATTAAGTGCCGCACTGGGTGACACCCGACCTCATTACGCCACTGGTAAGAAACCAAGTCTACTATTATAATCTCAGTATCACAGCCGGTTAACTTCTTTAATTAACACATCAACAGAAGAGTTTTACAATGATGTAACGGTGTTTCATACAAATATCAACCTTTTCGTTCATCGGTTGGCTAAAGCGTTTTATGATATTTTATCTGCTTTAATTCTGTCAAATTAAAGAGTTAAATAAAAGATATTAGGAATTTCAAGATAGATCTAATTCTTGGTGGGGTTTTTGTTTTTTATTATTTTTTTTTTTCAAAAATATAATCAACAGTGTTAATTATTTATATTTTTACTCTCGATTGTTTTAATTACTTGAATTACTTCCCCTATTCCAAAATACAAGTGACTAGCAGTAGCTGATAGTTTAGTTTAATCTAACGATCCAGGGTAGGTAATCAGGTTTACTTTTTAAAACTATTTTTTAATGAGTTACTTCGCTTTCACCAGAAAATTTTATCTGCAGTTAAAATATTGCCGACTTGAAAGCAATATTTTAAAAAAGATATTTCCTATGACAAAAAGTAATACAGACTTTTTTCTGAGAATAAAAGAATTATATTAACGCAATCAAAACAAACTGTGTCACAGTAAAATGGATCTATTTTTAATTTGTTTGGGCCCTGAATCAAACAAAACAATTTTGTTTCGTTATTGAATAGATAACAGAGATTTATTTTTAAAACAGATAACGGACGCAATTTGAACTGATGAATGCGACTCTTTAAATGTCTAGCAAAACTTAGTAAAATGGTAAACAGTTACTCTTGGAAAGACTCAAATCTAGACGAAAGAAAACCTTTCAAAATCCTGGTAACTATGAGCGCCATGACACGTGATAGTACAGGGACATAAAATTTTAAGGGAGTGGGGGCCAGGATATTATATGAGTGGAAGCTAACATTAGACCAAACAGTCCAAAATTTTTGACTGCTAAATATATCAACGAAGTTGGCTAGTGTTTATTTGTTTATTTGTTGGAAGGGGATGGTTCTATTTCTCCAGTATTAACTTTTAGATTCCCAGAAAAATTTAGCCTACTTCCCCACCTTCAGATATCATTATAATTCTCTTGTTAAGAAGCTGTATGTTTTCTCTAAGTTATTATTGTGAAGATCATTTAAATGTTTTACTGGTTCTCTCATTAATCAAGTTACCTATCTAATTTAATTTTTAAATCTAATTTATTTGTTAAATCTAATTAATTTTTCAAATCTAATTTATTTTTTAAATCTAATTTATTTTTTAAATCTAATTTATTTTTTAAATCTAATTTATTTTTTAAATCTAATTTATTTTTTAAATCTAAGGATTTTAGTAAAAAAGCACTAATCATCATATAAAAATAAAAATTACATATTCTTGTAGAGCTCAACAAAATGAAAACAAAACAAAAAAGATTTTCTGTCTAGCTCAAATAGTTTTTTTTAGCGAATTTTTTTGTGAGGGGTGGAATCCCCTTGTCTTTGCATTGGCCAATTGTGACAAGTCATGGTATACCTGAATAAATTGAGCATAGTTATTTTACTTGCAGTTGTATTTTGTTCATATTTGCATAGTTTAGCTAGAATGGTATATAGAACTTGTAAATGCTATTGAAATGAATAAAAATAATACAGAAGTTATATTTTTGTGTTGGCTTCCTCCCATAACCCCAAAAAACTGTGTGCTGCGCAAATATGAAAATGTTTCTAAAGCCAAATTTTATATAAATACAGCAAATGAAAGAACTACAAAGTTAGAAATCTAAAGTAAATGACTTGAACACTGTCATGTGCATATAATTGCCTCATTATTTTGGGCAGGTGAAGTAGAGTCCATCTTTAAGCCATTTTGTTATAAAACTGCTGCGCAAATATGAAAATGTTTCTAAAGCAATATTTTATATAAATACAGTGAATGAAAGAACTACATAGTCAGAAATCTAAAGTAAATGGCTTGAACACTGTAATGTGTATATAACTGCCTTGTTATTTTGGGCAGGTGAAGTAGAGTCCATATAAGCCATTTTGTAATAAGTGAAATGAAGTTATCAGACCAATGTTTTTATGTGTGAATTGTGTATGGATTCTGATTTTCAGCATATAACTATGTCTAAGGGTAAGTAGAACTAGAATACTTAAAATTACAATTAGCACAATGCTAGTGTATTTAAGTGTATAGCAACAGACAGGTAACCTAGGTCTGACTCTTGTCAGTCTAGTCTGACAAAATTGGATTTTAGGAAAAACATTCTGCAAAACTAGAACTAGAGCTGAAAAAATGAAAGATGGGTATGTAAATATATTTTGAAAACAAAAATTAGGAGATTTGTTTGCACATTCCATAAGAATGCTGTTGTTAATTGATCAAACTTAAAGGCCGGAAGATCGGGATGAAAAAATATAACAATGGTGGCAACGCGACCTACATACAGTGACTACCTATAAACGAGTATATCTAATGTCAGAGTCAAAATATCCAAAAACAAATATCATTTCCACATATATATAGATATGTCTGCTCGGTAATCTTCACTCATCTAGAATAACCTTTTAAAAAATCGTGATTCCAACGTATTTGAAACTAGCCTTCATACAGGGGGAAGACCAAAGCAGAGACAGCGTGCAATCAGATGGCTAAGCTATCAAAACAATGGGAAAACCATTTTACTTTTCATTTAACATTAGGAAATGACCTTTTAAACTTAATTAATTACCATAAATTAAAAACTTATTAGTATGCAAAACCAAAGCTTGTGCGCCCGGTATCAGAAAGTAATGGGAGATTTCGGGTCATGTTTTTACCGCGATCTCGGCCGATACCGACAACCCTAAATAAATCTAATTTATTTTTTTAATCTAATTTATTTTTAAAATCTAATTTATTTTTTAATCTAATTTATTTTTTAAATCTAATTTTTTTAATCTATTTTTTTTAAATATGTTAAATGCTGGTCTTAACGAGTGCACTGAAACCACCATAAACAGAAATATGAAAACACACTACACTACTTCTTCACTGACACTAGTGTTCATCTCCTGCTGTTTACCAGTGGTCATCTCCTGTTGTTTACATGTGGTCATCTCCTGTTGTTTACCGGTGGTCATCTCCTGTTGTTTACCTGTGTTAATCTCCTGTTGTTTACCTGTGGTCATCTCCTGTTTACCTGTGGTCATCTCCTGTTGTTTACATGTGGTCATCTCCTGTTGTTTACCGGTGGTCATCTCCTGTTGTTTACATGTGGTCATCTCCTGTTGTTTACCGGTGGTCATCTCCTGTTGTTTACCTGTGGTCATCTCCTGTTTACCTGTGGTCATCTCCTGTTTACCTGTGGTCATCTCCTGTTGTTTACCTGTGGTCATCTCCTGTTTACCTGTGGTCATCTCCTGTTTACCTGTGGTCATCTCCTGTTGTTAACCTGTGGTCATCACCTGTTGTTTACTAGTGGTCATCTCCTGCTGTTTACCTGTGGTCATCTCCTGTTGTTTACCTGTGGTCATCTCTTGTTGTATAGAAGTGTTCATCTCCTGTTGTTTACTTGTGGTCATCTCCTGCTGTTTACCAGTGGTCATCTTCTGTTGTTTACCAGTGGCCATCTTCTGTTGTTTACCAGTGGTCATCTTCTGTTGTTTACCAGTGGTCATCTCCTTCTGTTTAGAAGTGGCCATCTACTGCTGTTTACCAGTGGTCATCTCTTGTTTGTCAGTGGACATCCCCCCTGTAGTACATGCATTGCCTTCCGAAAAAGAATTCCCTGAATAAACATGTGTTTGTTTTTGTGTCAAGTCCAATATGTGCATAAACCATAACCCAAACGAAAATGCGCAAGATGATATAGCTTACATAAAAAGCTTTTTCTTCTATGTAAAACACAATGACTAATGCCCACAACAAAAGAAACATCTCAAATAAATAAATAACGCACCTGAAAAGTGACGGAGTACATTCACATTAGAATGAACCCGGATAAGAATTTGTTTATGTTACATACCGGAGCTATGTTACACTTTCGTAATGACCTGTTGATGGGGTGACCCTACCGGAAGTGGGAGTCACTTCTTGTGTTCCCCTCAGCGGGTTGGCTGTCGTGAGGCTGGACACACACGTGACCAAAACGTAAACAAAACAATAAGCCCCCAAAAAATTTGTTTAACCTTTTGACCCACAGCCATAATTCGTGTCAAGTAAACAGTTTACTCACCCCCTGGTTTTGAAACCCATGTGACGTCATCACTGGGCTACTGTTGCTCACAAAGCTGCACGTGTCCCCGTGCATTGTGTAAGTGGCTGCACTGTTCCAGTGTTCACCTTAGACTCTCGCGCTCACATCCTGTAGCTGCCACTCTTGTGTGCATGTCGTGTCTTCAAGTTCCGGGACCTGATGTATATAAAGACATCGAGGCTAGCCGTGTGGCAGAAACACTAGCACCTGCGTGAACACTTCGCTTCTTCCTAGGGGACAAATCGACGACATCAAAAGTAGGTTGTTTATACTTATCTCAGCTAACAGTTGTGAAACTTTATGAGCCGTGACATATTAAATTTGTAACAATAACTTAACAAACATGTTTGTTTATGTTGTAGTTATGTTGTATCATGTTCAAAACTTCTAAAGTAAAATATTGATAAAAATTGATTATTTCATAGATACCATTGAAAGTAAAAAAATAAATCTTCGAGTTTACAAAAGATATACTGACACGAAAAACATATAAAATGTATACATACATACATTTGTTCAATGTATTATTACGTAGAGCGTCTGCTTCTCTAGACCTTTATTTACAAAATGTTCAGTGTAATTACCGACTGCATCAATACATTTAAATAAGAATAAAGTTTTTGACCCTTCTCCTTACCTCCCGTTTGGGACATTGCACCAGGCTACTGACTATTCCTTAGCTAATGGTTGCTAAAAAGTCTCGAGTTCGAACCGCCGGGCAGATGAGGTTCGATAGCTGAACAACGCAACCCATCTAGGAGAGAAAACTCCAACAATCAAACAACTGAAGCTAACACGGCATCACTGAGCGTATGGCCTTTCGGGTAAAGGTCACCGGCCAGGGCGCATGAGTTCCTAGATGAACTTCAACTTCTAGATGGAGGCATCTGGCTGTGGTCAGGCATGGAGAGGGGTCAGGGCTACCATGCGACACTTAGCCCTAGACACATCACACAAATCTCGGGTACACCAACGGCCCTAACAAGGATTAAGGGATAATTTAGATGTTCAGATTTAGACAAACTATTGCATACACCGGCCTGTATCAAGAGAGAAATACACGTGTATGTACATACTCAGATAACAAGCCACACGTTTAACCATGTCCCTTATCTCTCTCACTGTCCATCTCTTCAGTGCTACTTAACCTGAGAACCAGCAGACGGACACTCGACGACGGCCTTCACCTTTGGACGTTTGTGTTGTTCCTGGCCATGGCGCTGGTCATGTGGACTTTGACCCTGTACTTCTCCCTGCACCAGCAGACAACCATGACGTCAAGCTCGCAGACGTCAGCTCACTGCCTGACCCCGGCTGAATTTGGCGCCCCACAAGCAGCATACGCGCACGCCGTTTGCTTGGAAGCTTACAGGAAAGCTTATCTACCTAGCCGTCAAGCGGACAACGAAACAGCACTCAGTGCTTCGCTTTACGAGATTGGTTTGAATTTAAACGACGCAGACAAAAATCTGAAAAAATTCAACCCCTCTTCGGAGCTGAAGTTGAAAGCCAACCATGACATTGATTATTTCTATTTTCACATCCCAATTTTGATGATCGTATTCGCTATCTTGTTGCGAGTTCCGCAGATATTATGGTCAATGTACACCGCCAGCTGTGGAATCAACCTACAGAAAACTCTCGAAGCTTTTAAAGACTTTCACCTATTGACTGTAGAGAAAAAACGTCATTTGATAGACAGCGTTCTAACATTCAACACACCGTCATGTTTCACAGTTTTCGGGTTTTTCCTCTACAAGATTTTACTCTGCGCGATCACCATTGGTGAAGTTTTGTTTTTGAAATATCACGTGACACTAGACAGTCACGTGATGGGATCCACGAATAGCCGCAGCAATGGACCTCTGCTTTGTACGTTTGATTTCCGGATGATGAACTCAGTTCAGAGCTTCACCATCCAATGCCAGTTCAGTGGAGCTGGTTCCGGCGATGACGACACTAGCGCCACCGTGGTCAGCGTTTACAAGTCTCTCACCCTCATCGTTCTGCTAGTCCTGGTCGCTCTGTCTGTCGTCAATGTCCTCAGTCTGCTCAAATGTCTGCTCCAGGTCTGCCTGCCCTCCTGCAGACGTCGCCTGACGGGGGGCGTCAACCTTCGGGCCGACGCCACGCTCCTGCTGCTTCTGGCCCAGGAGAATATCGGGAGTCACGTGACTGAGGCGCTGGCTGAAAGCTACGGGCGGGCTAGTGGGGGTGGGTGGCAGAAGAAGGAAGATCTCAAGATGGCGCCTGAAGAGGCGTGAGGTTATGTGAGGTATGTGGAGACACACTAGGACACACACGGCATGACACACACACACTGAGACACACACTGTGAGACACAATGAGACACACGCAATGAGACACACGCAGAGTGAGACACACACGTTGAGACACATGCACTGAGACACACACTCAGGCACACACTGCAAGATACACATGCTGACACACACACAGTGAGACACACACGTTGAGACACACACACACTGAGACAGACACACTGAGACACACACAGCAAGACACACACAGTGAGACACACACAGCAAGACACACACAGCAAGACACACACAGCAAGACGCACACAGCAAGACACACACAGTGAGACACACACAGTGAGACACACACAGTGAGACACACACATGCTGAGACACACAATTGACACACATGTGAGATAGACACAGATAGAGAGGGCGTGTGAGTGTCTCTGTGTGTTTGTTTGTTCGTTCATTTACTTACTTAACCGTAATATACTGTATTTATTGTTATTTGTGTATTTATATTATTTATATTCTTTTTTTCTAAACAGATATTCCAAGAAAAGTGTAACAAATTTGAAGTTTAAAACTGATCAAGAGAAAGTAAAATCTAAAACGAATCTGTTTATTATGAAATCTTTCCTTTGTTTCAATCAGATAATAAAACTAGACCTTTATAAACTATCCCGCCTTTTGTTTTCAAATATGTGTTTGTGTGTGTGGGGTGGGGGGGGTGGGGGGGCTATGTGCTTGGAACGACGGATCAGGGGCGTAGCGAAAGGGGGCGGGGGGGCGGACCGCACCGGGTGACACCATTTAGGGGGGGGTGACACCAAGGCAAAAAATAGCAAAATATATAGAGAAAAACTTGAGGGGGGGTGCAAATCGAAAGTTTGATGGGGGGGGTGCAAATCGAAAACTTGAAAGTTTGTCCCCGGGAAGGGTCGCTACGCCTCTGGGGGGGTGACACCATTAAGTGCCGCACCGGGTGACACCCGACCTCGCTACGCCACTGCTACGGATTAGTAAGATTTTTTTCAAGATGAAATATTTTAGCTAATGATCTGATTGGTAAAGCTCATGGTTGCTAAACCGACAAATCAAACAACAGCTGACTTGTAAGTAGTTTGTTCTGTATTGGTCAAAGGAATGCGTACGCTTGTCACATAACATGTTGAAGACTTAATTTTACTTGAGGAAAATCAAGAATATGAAGAAACTAGCCATGTTATTCTCACCCGAAGATACTTTCCAAGTTAAAATAAGATACGGGTCGGGCTGTCTATAAATGAAGTAGTCCCTACATCCCAGTGGCTAGCGAGGTCGGGTGTCACCCGGTGCGGCACCTAATGGTGTCGTATGTGCCCGCCTCTCACTATTCGACAGAGACAGAATTTTTTTCATAAACATTATTGAAAGGTTGAAGGGGATGGAAATCGAAAGTTTGAGGGGGGGGGGTGCAAATCGAAAGTTTGAGGGGGGTGCAAATCGAAAGTTTGAGGGGGGGGTGCAAATCGAAAGTTTTGTCCCGGGTGAAGGGAAGGGTCGTTACGCCTCTGGAAGGAGTTTGTCGATTTAAAATAGGTGGTGCCCGCCACCCTACCGATATTTTATATTTTAGAATGTGCTCTAGATTTTAAAAAAAGGTTGGGAACCCCGGCCTTAAACTCTACTGTCGTTGGCGTACCACATTTGATTTTCTCATATTTTTTTTTCCATCTTCCCCGGTCTTCTGCTGCGCTCGGTCCAGTCCATTCTTTAATGCCCTCCATTCAATGTCGTCTTTTTACATACTTTGATCTGATGTCATTTTTGTTGGGGAGAGGCAGTCTTTATAGTTTATTAGTAACGACGTGTTGACGATGTTATATGTCGTCCAAAAAAGGTTGAGGTCAATAATGAAAAGCCGCTAAAGTAAACGTAAGTAGATCTAACAAACGTTCAAATGTGGGAATTTCTTCAGGAACTAAGAGGATATCTAGATATTGATTCAAATATTTGATGAAAGTTTGGGAATTTAAAAAATGTAAAAATAGTTTTTTTTATAGCTCTTGTATGATTTAAAATAAAAATGTAATACGGAAGTCACGTGATATTGTTTACTTGCGGAAGAGATTTGGTTTTTCCATTAGAGGCAAAAAATAGAAACGATAGTAGAATCTTGATTCAAATCATCTATCTAGACTCTACTTTCTGCTAGCTATGGTCTAGTATTAGACAAGAGATATATTTTTCTAAAAATCATTTCAGAATCATTCCAATTTTAGTACTTAGGCCCTACATAATAAAATACTTAATCTAGTCACTAGTCTTTGTCTAGATTACTTACTCACTCTAGATTTCTAGATTCAAGTAGATATTTTAAACTAAAAGTGACCAGTGCACACTTAACGACTTAACACGAAAAGCAAAACAGTCAAGACTGACTCAAGTTCAGAATTTCTTGAATTTCATCCCAATCACATGTCACTGCTAAGTCTAGCAGACTCTACTAGCTGTAATCTATCGTTTTGGGTACGTAAAATCGCCCGCGGCTATTTATGTACGAACACGTTACCTCATTGTCAAGGCTTTAATAGAAGTATATTGTCATACTTTTGTGTCAAATATTATAGATAAATGAATAATAAACCTAAATCAATGGCTAAATATATCGATATAGGCCAGAAATTAACTTTAAACAGCAGTGTCTGAGAGCAAGATTTGCTATATAAACAGCAGCCATTTGTAAAATAGAGTGGCTTCCCCCTGAATCTGGCGCTAAAAGCTTATAAAAATAAAACTTAGACAAGATGGCTGCCATAGTAAATGAGCATGGCTGCATCTGTTGGAAACATCGCTAGTCTTCATTTATTACGGAAAAGTTTTTATTCAATTGTTTAAAAACAGGTACATAAATGAATCAAGGAAACATTTTTGAATTTTTTAATACATAAATCCTCCTCAAAATGTGAAATAATTATTAAAATTTAAGGAGTCACCTGTTTTTCACATTACAAATCGCGGGCGATTTTACGTACCCAAAACGATAGATTACCCTACTAGCACCCTAGCTCAACTTTTAATTCCAATTTCAAGAAATTCCTATTACAACTAAAAGCAGAAACAGCATAGGCATAACAATATCAACAGATTATAACACTATTATAACTATAACACAAGCCAAAAAATTATTGTTGGTAAGTAAAAACCAGCTATTTTTATTTGTTGAATAAATTCATTTGAATGTGTTTATTTTTAAAGAGAAAAACAATAACACCTGACCTTAGTTTTCTGATTGTGTGTGGGGGTTTGAGTGGATTCTAAAATAACCTTTTAAATATTTATTTAGCCTATAAAATAAATTATTCTCATTAGGTAGGCCGTTCAATTCACAGCCTCAGTGTTTCTTTGTTTTGAAGCCATCTTACAGCCCATGCGCTAGAAGTAGAAGCACATTACTATAATGGTGACCAGTTTTGCTTTCACATGATTATGAAGCCATCGTCAATTTTAGAAATCTGAACTTTCCGTTTTTATTCAAGTCTGTTATTTAAGAATTGTCTGGTGTGCATTTGACCCAATTTTGTTTGTCTCGCAAAGTGAAAGTAGCTCTATTTTATTCTTGTCTTTCAAATCAAATAACTCTAACATACCGCTTCGATAACAAACCAGCCTATGTGTAACTAAAGTTGAAAGCATTAATTTTATACACAATACAATTAACTGGTAATAATTTATTGTGTTTTTGAGATGTGTTACATGTAAATGATCACCACTCAATAATGCTATTTTATTATAATCTTTTTTGGTGAAAACAAGGCGCGGGAAAAGTGTACCACACAAGAATCCAATCATTTGTCTAGATTTATGACTATTTTTTATGTCATAACTAAAAGTAGAATGTTAAGGTTTCTTCATTGATGATCGCTTTTATTATTTTTTTTAAACTGAAAGTATGTATTATTAGTTAGATTGCAGGTTTTGTAACTTGGTATACTTACTCTTTATCAATTTTAAAAGCATAGCATGCTGATTGTGTACAAACATAGTCATAAAACACAGATGTATCAAGTTCTGATTGCGATGTGTCACACCCCCTCAAAAAGCATGTGTTTATTAAGCTGTTTATCTCAACAATAATTAAAATTAATTTTCAAATTTTTATTACTTATTTGGGTAAGATTAATCACATTTTTACATATAATTAAAAAAAAAGAAAATTATGTTTAAATGAAGGTCACAGGTCAAGTGCTTTTTCCTGACCCTGACTTTGGAATTTTTTTCTGTAATAAGGACTTTGCACAGAAAGGTATTATATGCTAAACTGGCTTAGTTTACTAGTTTGCTAGCTAATATTGATACTTTTTTTGTTATAAAAAAATAATTTTGAAATTTTCATCAAAATAACTACATTAGGGCCATAAATTTTATATTAATTTTTTCCTCGATGTGACCTATTCAATTGCAAAGAATGAATATATCAAAACACAAAAAATTAACGCCCAAACTGAAATAATTTTGGCTTGCTGTTCACCAGCACATCATTTACAGAAACTTGATGATTTCTGTAGATTCCAGTGTTGGTTTTATTACACATTTTTTACATTTATTTGATTTGTTGCAACTTTCTTTTTTCATATTTCTTCTCCATTGAATGTATAACCCTCTGATCCAGTTTATCATATCTCAAATTTTGCTCGTATTTCAAGGCAAAGTGTTGTTTGCTGATATTACAAAAAAAGGCCCAGTAACATTATGAACCTTTTGCATAAAACCTTATTATAATGTACTACTAAAATCTTCAGTGTCTTCAGAATGGCAGATCTGGAAAAAATTGGTGATGAAAACTTGTCTAAGTTGCCAGCTTCTATTTTCCTTCAACTTAGAAACCATTTAGATGTGAGCCATTCCCCAAGTCAAGGCTGGAAGGCATTTGTTGCTGTACTTGGTGAAAACTATACACTGTGAGTATTTAAAAGTTAAGAACTGCTATTTAAAAACAAAATGACTTTTGTAGCATATCTGACAAATAATTGAATAAAAAAAAATTTTCAGCTCTGCTTTTTAGTATTAAAGTAGTAATACTAGTAAAATAATAGCCTAGTTACTCTACAGCCCATAGAGAATTTTCCCTGCTTTACCGCTATTTTCTACAGAAATTTATCCCAGGGTTCCTGCTGCCTCCTGAAATTCCAGGATGTCCTGGAATTCTCCTGGAATTTAAAAAAAACAGAAAAGTCCTGGAATTCTCCTGGAATTTTAACATTTCTCCTGGAATTCTAACATTTCTCCTGGAATTTTACTCGCATCGATAATTTTAGTGAATATTTTTTTCGTGCGTTAGATTTCTAGGTAATCAGATCTGACCGTCCGAGTAAAAATGTTCTGCCTTTTCAATTCTTCACCTTCACGTTACAAGGCACACATTTTAAAATATGGACCTAAAGCTGTCTTTAACATGTGGGTTTGGTTTAATTTTTTTCTCACGTCTTTCTATGTGTGCGGCTCTGTTTAATAGGCCTGACTTTTTTTTTAAAATTGGAAATTTCGAGTAGGCCTAGGCCAAAATCTAGTTTTTGCGCAGCTAATTTGAATCCACAGTCCGATAGGCTCTAAATCTACTTTCTATTTTTACATGCGAGTTGTAATACTACCACCCTCCCAAACCGCATCTCAGTTTCTTTCCCATGACAGGGTGGGGGAGGGAGGACCGCTGGTTGGGTATATGAAGTGAACTCTGTGTGACCCGCTAGTTATGTCATCAGCAGTATACTACAGGCCAACTGTAAGCTTAGATGAACTCAAACTGACCCCGCGCGACGGTGTCTAGCTGGAGGAAAAAAATACGGTACCTTCCTAAAATTTTTCAAGTATTAGGGGTCGTCCATAAATGACGTCACACTCGTAGGGGGAGGGGGGTCCGTAATTTTGTGACGGTGTGTGATGCGGGGGGGGGGGGGGGGGTTCAGATAGTGGTACGTCACACTATTGCATCATAAAAAGCAATGTTAGAAAACGAATTTTAGCCGTTATTTCGCGTTTTAAAAAACTGTTTTAATAAATTGTAATAGGAATTGATCAAAATACTCTGTTGTTTAAGAAGTGTCACATTTATATATTTAACTACTCATTGGCTTAAATGGGGGGGGGGGCGCCCTGATGAAAAGGGATACAATTTTTGTTTACAAAAAGCTCATTTTATGCTGAAGTATTGAATTATATACAGTCAAAGTTAAGAAAATAAACTTCTACAAGACTACGCACTGATTTAACTTTTCTCTACCTCAATTGTGTAGTACAAAGATAAAAATTGTTACAGGATAGTGACTGGTAAAAAGTGCCACCAAATTTTCCAAAGGGGGGGGGGAGAGAAAGGAAAGATAGCAATTTTATGAATATCAATTTATAAATGGGAGGGGTGGGGTGCAAAATTGAATCTACTTTAACTAAACTAAATGGTTAAGAAACAGTTACTTTTAAAAATTACAAATGCTATGCTAAATAGCATTTTATAAAGACCACTTCCCAATTAAGGACTGTCAAACTCCCTTCCATTCAGTGCAGGGTTGAGTCGTTATTGCTTTTTAATAGGTTAAAGTATGTCCTGGAATTTTGGTTTTTCTCCTGGAAAACTCCTGGAATTCTCCTGGAATTTCAAGTTCACTTTGGTGTAGGAACCCTGTTATCCACTGCCTTCTTATTTCACATGGACTTTAATGTGCTGTGAGTCTGTCCCCTTGTGATCCTTGTCCATTTCCATTAAAATCTTTCTGCTGTTATTTTTTTTTGTGACTTCGCTTTTATTGCAATTTTTTTTTCTAAGTGATGCTCTTGTTAGCCCTGCTGGTCTAGTATTCACCCTCCATATATACTCATAAGTGACAAAGATGTATATCTAGGAACATTTGTTTTCAATTGTCTCCATTAATTCAGACTTTAATTTCAGAAATAGTTTTGTGTAATTTGAATGATTAATTATGATTGAACTGATTTCTCACTGCAATACAAACTTCATGTGGCAAACATGTGCATCAGATTTTATTTCTACTTCAGGTCAGATATTGCAGATTTTGAAAGAGCTCCAAGTCCCACAACCAAGTTGATAAGCACATTAGGTGCTCGTGGCATGACCATCAAAGAGTTTGTTCAGTATGCTGTTATAGCAAATGATCATGTGATTATGAACTTGTTTAATGTCTTAGGTTAGTAGATCTAGTTATGTGATAAGAACTTGTTTAATGTGTTAGGTTAGTAGATCTAGTTATGTGATAAGAACTTGTTTAATGTCTTAGGTTAGTAGATCTAGTTATTTGATAAGAACCTGTTTAATGTCTTAGGTTAGTAGATCTAGTTATTTGATAAGAACTTGTTTAATGTCTTAGGTTAGTAGATCTAGTTATTTGATAAGAACTTGCTTAATGTCTTAGGTTAGTAGATCTAGTTATTTGATAAGAACCTGTTTAATGTCTTAGGTTAGTAGATCTAGTTATTTGATAAGAACTTATTTAATGTCTTAGGTTAGTAGACCTAGTTATGTGATAAGAACTTGTTTAATGTCTTAGGTTAGTAGATCTAGTTATTTGATAAGAACTTGTTTAATGTCTTAGGTTAGTAGATCTAGTTATTTGATAAGAACTTGTTTAATGTCTTAGGTTAGTAGATCTACTTATTTGATAAGAACTTGTTTAATGTCTTAGGTTAGTAGATCTAGTTATTTGATAAGAACTTGTTTAATGTCTTAGGTTAGTAGATCTACTTATTTGATAAGAACTTGTTTAATGTCTTAGGTTAGTAGATCTAGTTATTTGATAAGAACTTGTTTAAAGTCTTAGGTTAGTAGATCTAGTTATTTGATAAGAACTTGTTTAATGTCTTAGGTTAGTAGACCTAGTTATTTGATAAGAACTTGTTTAATGTCTTAGGTTAGTAGATCTAGTTATGTGATTATGAACCTGTTTAATGTTTTAGGTTAGTAGACCTATTCATTATGTTTTTTTTACATAGGGAATATTTATTTTAGCCACAGTTAACAGGTTCATCTATTGTTATAAAGAGTTATAAAGATTGCTTCAGTTTTTCCTTAATATAAATATCTTTATGTTAAATAAATTTGATCTAACTTAAATTGAGATTTTTTTAATGAATATAAATCAGTAATTTCAGCTCATAAGATTATATCATTACCTATTGATTAGATCCTGTAACATCTGCTTTTGATTTCAGTTCCTGTTGAGATCACACATCAGCCTTTAAATGAGATGCACGTTCTAGAAGAGGAGAGGGTTGAAATGTGTGTGAAGGCCACTGGCTTCCCACCACCCCAGTACCAGTGGTATAAGAATGGTGAGCTGCTGGAAGGTGCCACAGAGAATGTTCTGGAACTGAGATCTGTGAGGTAGGCTGGAGCTGGTATTTACATTGGTTTGCTATGTAGATAGAACACTAGTGGGGGGTGGTGGGCTTGGACAGGAGAGCTTATTGCTGTCTCCAGAAGTTCCAAGTTTGGACCCCATGGGTAGATGAGGCTCATTAGCTGGAGGCAGCAACACATCCTGTAGAGAAGTACAAAATTAAAAAAAAAAAGCTGCCTTTAGGTTGTTCTTGGGTGGATATAAGCTATGGATGTAAATCCATTGGAGTCAACGGCCTATATGGCTCATAACAAGTTGACATGTAATACTTCATTGCATTGGAGGAAATCCCCTTCATTATTACATTTAAAAACAAAGAACAAAGAAGACCTGTAGGCCTATGTTTCAGTTGTTTCTCTTGAATGCCACTAATTGAAATTTTTAGCGCAATTTCCATTCTGGAGAATTGCGTTTATTAACTCGTCTTTTCTGGGAATGGATGGATGGATGTATGTGTGTCCGCAGCTTTAAGTCGTATCTCCTCCTCAACCAAGCAATATCGAGGACTAGTTCCAAAAGCAAATATGTTAAGCAAGTTACCAGGATGAACATAGGCCAAAAAAATTCCGGGTTTCTTTCATGGATTTCCCGGAAAAGCCAAAAAACCTCGAAAAAATGCAGTTTTTGGCCCATATCTCGGCAACCAGACTTAGCGACTTGAAACATGTACCAATCAATTCCTGCCATAATTTAGAACAATATTGCCAAAGAAAGTTTTCAAAAATATCCTTTCGTTCGGTCACAAAATTTTTTTTTTAATTAATTAAAATTTGGACCGAATTAGTAGGCTTTTTATCCAACCACACCACACGCGTCATCACGTTCAATAGCTGCGCCATCACGTTCAATGGCTGCATCATCACGTTCAGTAGCTAGGCGCGCAATGGTTTTTAGTCATGTAACTCTATTGTAAATAAAACATGTATTTTAACCAATGGTTTTACTAACCCTGCTCTTGATTTACGCTGCGACAGAGCTATTTTTAGATAACATAAGGAAATTGCGCTTAAATGTCACTAGACTTTTTAATTAACTTGTTTTTACTTTGGTTGTTGTTTTCTTTTCTAATGATATAATAAATTTGAATGACCAAAATTTGGGTGCAGTGCTGCTGATGCAGGGGAATATTGCTGCGCTGTCTACAACAATGGGAACTACTCTGAGCTGACTCTCTCTCAGACGTCACTGGTCACCGTACTACGAGCTGGTGAGTACATACTCTCTAAGACTTCACTGGTGACTACATACTTTCTCAGACTTCACTGGTGACTACATACTTTCTCAGACTTCACTGGTGACTACATACTTTCTCAGACTTCACTGGTGAGTACATACTTTCTCAGACTTCACTGGTGACTACATACTTTCTCAGACTTCACTGGTGAGTACATACTTTCTCAGACTTCACTGGTGACTACATACTTTCTCAGACTTCACTGGTGAGTACATACTTTCTCAGACTTCACTGGTTACTGTACTACAAGCAGGTGACTACATACTTTCTCAGACTTCACAGGTGAGTACATACTCTCTCAGACTTCACTGGTGAGTACATACTTTCTCAGACTTCACTGGTGAGTACATACTTTCTCAGACTTCACTGGTGAGTACATACTTTCTCAAACTTCACTGGTGACTACATACTCTCTCAGACTTCACTGGTTACTGTACTACAAGCTGATGAGTACATAAATCATGTTTGGCTGTGTCATATACACCATGAGGTGACAAAAAGTCAAACAAAGCTGTTAATCTCTGCTCATCATCTCTTTGTTTTAGCACTGCCTTTCGCCAACACAGAGTAATAACATGGGTTGTATGAAACAACACCATAGCCATTTCCCTCCAAGATCAATTATGCCAAACCGCAAAACTTTACCCCCTTATTCATTACAAATTGACTGTAAACCTACCATTAAATAAAAGTTAACATAAGGTAATATTAGTATTAACAAATGTTAGGAAATTTTTTGGAGGAAATAGATTGCTTGTTCACCTGTTTAATATCCTAAAAACTAGGATACATTTTGTATTCTGTCCTATTCAGGCACTAGGGCACTCACTCTGCCTTTGTGTAATAGATTTTTAGATGGGCACAATGGCCATAGATGGGGGTAGTATACAAGACTGAATAAATAAGTTTATTAATTTTTTCTTTCAGCTGAAATTGAAATTAAAGCCCATCCCCGCTCATGTATAGTAGAGATGCATGGCAATGCCTTGTTCAGGTGTGAAGCCTGGGGGGTGGGGACCTTCAGGTACCAGTGGTTTCACAATGATATACCCCTGGATGATGGGCCAAATGTCAAAGGTCAGATGTCAAGGTTTTTTTTTCTTTGTCTATGATAGTTTTTATTATGCACATCTTGCAAAATGCTGTATGTTACCTTAGTTCAGTTAATTAAAGAATCTATGCTTGGTTTAAGCATCAAAATTTGGTTCAGACATTTAAATGTAATTTAGTTGTCTAAACTTGGTTCAGACATTTAAATGTAGTTTGGTTATCTAAACTTGGTTCAGCCATTGAAATGTAATCTAGTTATCTAATTTTGGTTCAGCCATTGAAATGTAATTTAGTTATCTAAACTTGGTTCAGCCATTGAAATGTAATTTAGTTATCTAAACTTAGTTCAGACATATGAATGTAATTTGGTTATCTAAACTTGGTACTTACATTTAAATGAAATTTAGGTATCCAAACTTGGTACTTGGTTTCGACATTTTAATTTTGAATCTAGGCGCCTAAGCTTGGTTTGGGGTCTCTTGTTGTCACAAAGAAGTGAACCAAAAACTCTGGTAGTTTCCAACCTTTTGTTTTGCTGTTAGGGAGTGGCAGCAGTGAGCTACACCTGTATGACATCACATCCTGGGAATGGGTGGGCTGCTATTTCTGCGAGGTCTCCAGAGGTACACAGACGGCACAGACTCAGAGCGCCTTTCTGAAATTGGACGCCATAGGTGCAGTACCTGCTGTGCGATACACAGGTTGGTTGACCTCATTCTTAATTCATAATTAGCACCTGGCTTTTGTTTCTAAATCAGGGGTCGGCGTGGCCGAGTCGGTAAAGCGCATGGTTGCTAAACCAAAAAGTCTCGAGTTCGAACCCCCGGGCAGATGAGGCTCGCTAGCTGGGGACAGCCACTCTTTTAGGAGAGACAACTCCAAAATCAAACAACTGCTGCCTTGTAGTTTGTTCTTGGTTGGACAAAGGCTATGGAAGCAAATCCAAAAAGAAAAGCAGGCTGAAATCGGAGTCAATGGCCTCAATGGCGCATAACCAGTTGACGCGTAATCCTTAATTGTGATGGAAGCATGGTCGAGTCTGCAAAAAGCTCATGGTTGATAAATTCGAAAAAGTCTCGAGTTCAAACCATCTGGCACATAAGGCTCGATCACTTCCAACACTAAAAATTAAGAACGAAGAAGAAGAAGAAGTTTCTAAATCAAGTTATCTTTTGAAAATTTTATATTAAATTAACATTTAAAATAAATATGTAAATAAAACAAACATTTTATTGGGTTTTTTTTTTTAATTTTATTTTTTTTATCTGTATATTTCATTGTAACATTCTATAGCCAGCCATTGATAAAATGACAATTATTAAAAATGTAGATTCCTTTTTTATTCTTAATAAGATTGAAGGGGATATCCTCCAACACAATTAAGTATTACATGTCATCATGACCCATAGGCCCCTCAACTACTCCAGTTGTTTTTTTTTTCTTCCATAACCTTTGTCCATCCATTTATTTTTCAATTATAACATTTCATTGTCTCCCTTATAGCCACAGATAAAGTAGCACTTTTAATTGGATGTAATGATTACAGAAGTGACACCATACTGTATGCTCCAAAATACGATGTCCAGACTTTATCAGAGATTTTTCAATCCCTCAATTTTAAGGTTTGTATCTACGTTGTCTACCTGTAATCTGATCTATAACCTGTTTATAAATTCATTTGAATTCAGTTAGTGTAACGTTATGGTGGACAGTTTTAACATTGGGCATGCAAGATTGAGCAAAAAAATTTTTATCATTTTTCTGTTTGTTAATCAAACACCTTTTTCCTCTTAACTAACTTTGGCATGCTAGTACCCCAGTTTCCTATGTAGTTTTTATCCACCCCCCCTCCCCTGGTGTACCAGTTCCTCATGTAATTTTTATCCCTCCCCCTCCCATGTCTACCAGTTCTTCAGTTTCCTATGTAGTTTTTATCCACCCCCCCTCCCCTGGTGTACCAGTTCCTCATGTAATTTTTATCCCCCCCTCTCCCCCTCCCATGTCTACCAGTTCTTCAGTTTCCTATGTAGTTTTTATCCTTTCTTTTTATTTTCTAACTAGACATAAAAAAAAAATTTAAATATCATAACTAAATCCTAAAAGCAACATTTTAAGCTTTAATTTGTTTTGAAAAGGGGGTAAAATAACAAGATCTTTCCCATTGACTTTTCATATTGCAATGTTGCAACAACAAGATAAAAATAAAAAATCAGATTTTGTTTAGTTACCAATATTTTAAAAATAGATGTCTTATCTTTAAATATATAACACCCAAGAATAATCAAGTTTTTATAACCACATCTTTTATTAACACTGCTCAATTTATTAAAAATATTAAAAGTATTTTGGGCTCTTATGAAGCCTTTGAGCTTGTTTGATGTATTTGAACATGTTGAATTTTACATAATAGATAAAAAACAAAATGTCTGTTTTCTCCTTTACTCAGGTTGTCTCCCTTCTAAACTTGACCAAGTCTGAGATGCTGGCAGCCATAGTTGAGTTCAGACAGCTGGTGGACAAGGGGGTGTACTGTGTCTTCTACTTCTGTGGTCACGGCTTCGAGGTAGCCAGCCAGTGTTTCCTGGTGCCCATTGATGCGCCTTCACTCTATCAGCACACGCACTGCATCTCCACGGAAAAGTTGTTTCACGGTCTCCTCCAGAGGGAGCCTCAGGTCTGCTGCATGATATTGGACATTTGCCGGAGAAGGTAAGGGTCAAGGCCAAGGTATATCAAATTGTGACCTGTTTTATAATACATGATACTGGGCATTTGCAGATAGTCAGGGCTATTTAACTGCTTATACAACATTAAATTTGTTGGTAACAAACTTTTAATTTGATGGGCAATGGCTAGTGCTCACTAAAGTGCACTTGTTAACGTTCATTTCCTTTGTAAAAATACCTTAAAATATACAATCATGTTGATAATATTGCCCTAATACATTGTTTTAATATAAATTATGCTCTTAATGCATTGTGTGTAATATTGCTTATTATCATGCTATTAATATTGTACAAGCTTAGTTTATTTTTAAACACTTGACCTGTTAATGTAGAAAGCTGAAACTCCTTTTTGTAGTTATGATGACAATGCCAAGCCAGCCTTACTGAGCCAGAATAAAGTGGAACGAGGAAATGCTATAGTGTGTTATGGCACGTAAGTTGGTTTACAGTCATCCTAGTAATATGTTGTGTTTTCTTCTCCTTCGTTTTTAATTATACTGTTGGAAGTGATTTCTTCCCACACAATTAAATATTACAGTTACATGTCATCGTATTATTAGCCATATAGGTCGTTAACTCCGATTTCGGCCTGCTTTGTGTTTTTGGATTTGCACCCATAGCCTTTGTCCAATCAAGAACAAACTACAAGGTGGCAGTTGTTTGATTTCTAAGTTTTGTCTCCTAGATGGGCTGCCGCCTTTCCGAGCTATTGAACCTCGACTGCCCTGGGGTTTGAACACTAGACTTGTAGATTTAGCAATGATGAGCTTTACTAAACAGCCACCCTAACTAAAAACCATATATAAAAAGAAAAGTGGACTTAAAAAACAGGAATTTAATTAATTGAAGACTGTAGTTCTAAAAGTACTTATGTTGCTAAATAAACATTTTGAGATAGCAGTTTACAGATCTGATTTGTCTATGAAAGTCTACTCTTTTTGTTTTTAAGTTGTTTGAAGAATAGGAAGAATATCAGTTATACATTTTTAACCATTCCTATTTGTTCAGCAAACAAAAGTCTACTCTTTTTGTTTTTAAGTTGTTTGAAGAATAGTCAGTTATACATTGTTAACCATTCCTATGTGTTCAGCAAACAAAATCTAATGGTAGACTCAAGTGCCCTCCATTGATTCAAGAAATTAAAGCACAAAATTGTTTTCTTTCACTTCTCTGTTTGGTGTCCGCATTCTTCAGCTAAGTCTGTTTTATCCTGTTGTAAGTTGTTGGTCCTGGTGTGTTGTAAATATTTTGTATGTTTTTATTTGGTTGTAATGTGTTGTAAATATTTTGTATGTTTTCATTTGGTTGTAGTGTGGTGTAAATATTTTATATGTTTCTATTTGGTTGTAGTGTGGTGTAAATATTTTATATGTTTCCATTTGGTTGTAGTGTGGTGTAAATATTTTGTATGTTTCCATTTGGTTCTAATGTGGTGTAAATATTTTGTATGTTTCTATTTGGTTGTAGTGTGGTGTAAATATTTTATGTTTCCATTAGGTTCTAATGTGGTGTAAATATTTTGTATGTTTCCATTTGGTTGTAGTGTGGTGTAAATATTTTATGTTTCCATTTGGTTGTAGTGTGTTGTAAATATTTTGTATGTTTCCATTTGGTTGTAGTGTGGTGTGAATATTTTGTATTTTTCCATTTGGTTGTAGTGTGTTGTAAATATTTTGTATGTTTCCATTTGGTTCTAATGTGGTGTAAATATTTTGTATTTTTCCATTTGGTTGTAGTGTGTTGTAAATATTTTGTATGTTTCCATATGGTTCTAATGTGGTGTAAATATTTTGTATTTTTCCATTTGGTTGTAGTGTGTTGTAAATATTTTGTATGTTTCCATTTGGTTCTAATGTGTAAATATTTTGTATGTTTCCATTTGGTTGTAATGTGTTGTAAATATTTTGTATGTTTCCATTTGGTTGTAGTGTGGTGTAAATATTTTGTACATTTCTATTTGGTTCTAATGTGGTGTAAATATTTTGTATGTTTCCATTTGGTTGTAATGTGTTGTAAATATTTTGTATGTTTCCATTTGGTTGTAGTGTGTTGTAAATATTTTGTATTTTTCCATTTGGTTGTAGTGTGTTGTAAATATTTTGTATGTTTCCATTTGGTTGTAGTGTGGTGTAAATATTTTGTATGTTTCCATTTGGTTCTAATGTGGTGTAAATATTTTGTATGTTTCCATTTGGTTGTAGTTTGGTGTAAATATTTTGTATGTTTCCATTTGGTTCTAATGTGGTGTAAATATTTTGTATATTTCTATTTGGTTGTAGTGTGGTGTAAATATTTTGTACGTTTCTATTTGGTTCTAATGTGGTGTAAATATTTTGTATGTGTCTATTTGGTTGTAGTTTGGTGTAAATATTTTGTATGTTTCCATTTGGTTCTAATGTGTTGCAAATATTTTGTATTTTTCCATTTGGTTGTAGTGTGTTGTAAATATTTTGTATGTTTCCATATGGTTCTAATGTGGTGTAAATATTTTGTATTTTTCCATTTGGTTGTAGTGTGTTGTAAATATTTTGTATGTTTCTATTTGGTTGTAGTGTGTTGTAAATATTTTGTATGTTTCCATTTGGTTGTAGTGTGGTGTAAATATTTTGTATGTTTCCATTTGGTTGTAGTGTGGTGTAAATATTTTGTACGTTTCTATTTGGTTCTAATGTGGTGTAAATATTTTGTATGTTTCCACCAGGTCCTATGGGCTAGCTGCCTATGAGAACAAAAACTATGGAATTCTAGTCAGTCACTTAAAAAATATTTTAGGTCTGCCTGTTGATATAGAAACAGTCTTTAGAAAGCTTCGAGAAGGTTGGTGATTGTTTTTTTTTTATTTCTGTTTGGGTAAAGTTAAATGTTTAGCTGGTCTGATACATATTTATAATATTTTCTAATGCACTTTACTGATAAATTTAAGAAAAAGAGAAATCCTAAGCATTCTGCAATTAATTATTTAAGTCTCTACCAAATTATTTGTATAATTAAGGAATAGTTAGGACAGCACTCTGCCCAGCTGCTTTTGCTTTCCCTAACATGAGTCAGGTACCCATCTGAGCTGGGTAGACTCAATAAATCATTTGTATAAAATGTAAATAATTTCTTCTTGAATTCTGACTTACTAACATACTTCCATCACACTTCTCGTGACAGTAATGTACCTATAAGCCTTCTAGAAAAAATAATGTCATCTTTCAGACATCAACCAGGATAAAATGTCTTCTTTCTTGCAGACATCAACCAGGATAAAATGTTTTCTTTCATGCAGACATCAACCAGGATAAAATGTCTTCTTTCTTGCAGACATCAACCAGGATAAAATGTCTTCTCTCTTGCAGACATCAACCAGGATAAAATGTCTTCTTTCTTTCAGACATCAACCAGGATAAAATGTCTTCTTTCATGCAGACATCAACCAGGATAAAATGTCTTCTATCTTACAGACATCAACCAGGATAAAATGTCTTCTTTCATGCAGACATCAACCAGGATGAAATGTTTTCTTTCATGCAGACATCAACCAGGATAAAATGTCTTCTTTCTTGCAGACATCAACCAGGATAAAATGTCTTCTTTCATGCAGACATCAACCAGGATAAAATGTCTTCTCTCTTTCAGACATCAACCAGGATAAAATGTCTTCTTTCATGCAGACATCAACCAGGATAAAATGTCTTCTCTCTTGCAGACATCAACCAGGATAAAATGTCTTCTCTCTTGCAGACATCAACCAGGATAAAATGTCTTCTTTCATGCAGACATCAACCAGGATAAAATGTCTTCTTTCATGCAGACATCAACCAGGATAAAATGTCTTCTTTCTTACAGACATCAACCAGGATAAAATGTCTTCTTTCTTGCAGACATCAACCAGGATAAAATGTCTTCTCTCTTTCAGACATCAACCAGGATAAAATGTCTTCTCTCTTGCAGACATCAACCAGGATAAAATGTCTTCTTTCCTACAGACATCAACCAGGATAAAATGTCTTCTATCTTGCAGACATCAACCAGGATAAAATGTCTTCTCTCTTGCAGACATCAACCAGGACAAGCGAGTCAGTGACCACCAGTCTCATAGGCCATCTTTCAAACAGATTCCAGAAATTAGAACAAATCTGTTGGAGGTCCAGCGTTCTTTTGCAGACCCCATTATCTACACCAACCACACACTAGAGTATGAGCACAGGAAGCAGTTGTGGGAGAATGCACATAGTAAGTTTTATACCACAATAGGTAATGGTTGTGGGAGAATGCACATCGTAAGTTTTATACCACAATAGGTAATGGTTGTGGGAGAATGCACATAGTAAGTTTTATACCACAATAGGTAATAGTTGTGGGAGAATGCACATAGTAAGTTTTATACCACAATAGGTAATGGTTGTGGGAGAATGCACATAGTAAGTTTTATACCACAATAGGGCAATGGTTGTGGGAGAATGCACACAGTAAGTTTTATACCACAATAGGTAATGGTTGTGGGAGAATGCACATAGTAAGTTTTATACCACAATAGGTAATAGTTGTGGGAGAATGCACATAGTAAGTTTTATACCACAATAGGTAATGGTTGTGGGAGAATGCACATAGTAAGTTTTATACCACAATAGGGCAATGGTTGTGGGAGAATGCACACAGTAAGTTTTATACCACAATAGGTAATAGTTGTGGGAGAATGCACATAGTAAGTTTTATACCACAATAGGTAATAGTTGTGGGAGAATGCACACAGTAAGTTTTATACCACAATAGGTAATAGTTGTGGGAGAATGTACATAGTAAGTTTTATACCACAATAGGTAATAGTTGTGGGAGAATGCACACAGTAAGTTTTATACCACAATAGGTAATAGTTGTGGGAGAATGTACATAGTAAGTTTTATACCACAATAGGTAATGGTTGTGGGAGAATGTACATAGTAAGTTTTATACCACAATAGGTAATGGTTGTGGGAGAATGCACATAGTAAGTTTTATACTACAATTGGGAATAGTTGTGGGAGAATGCACATAGTAAGTTTTATACCACAATAAGTAATGGTTGTGGGAGAATGCACATAGTAAGTTTTATACCACAATAGGTAATGGTTGTGGGAGAATGTACATAGTAAGTTTTATACTACAATTGGGAATAGTTGTGGGAGAATGCACATAGTAAGTTTTATACCACAATAAGTAATGGTTGTGGGAGAATGTACAAAGTAAGTTTTATACTACAATTGGGAATAGTTGTGGGAGAATGTACATAGTAAGTTTTATACCACAATAAGTAATGGTTGTGGGAGAATGTACATAGTAAGTTTTATACCACAATAGGTAATAGTTGTGGAAGAATGCACATAGTAAGTTTTATACCACAATAGGGCAATGGTTGTGGGAGAATGTACATAGTAAGTTTTATACCACAATAGGTAATAGTTGTGGGAGAATGCACACAGTAAGTTTTATACCACAATAGGTAATAGTTGTGGGAGAATGCACATAGTAAGTTTTATACCACAATAGGGCAATGGTTGTGGGAGAATGCACATAGTAAGTTTTATACCACAATAGGTAATGGTTGTGGGAGAATGCACATAGTAAGTTTTATACCACAATAGGGCAATGGTTGTGGGAGAATGCACACAGTAAGTTTTATACCACAATAGGTAATAGTTGTGGGAGAATGCACATAGTAAGTTTTATACCACAATAGGTAATAGTTGTGGGAGAATGCACACAGTAAGTTTTATACCACAATAGGTAATAGTTGTGGGAGAATGTACATAGTAAGTTTTATACCACAATAGGTAATAGTTGTGGGAGAATGCACACAGTAAGTTTTATACCACAATAGGTAATAGTTGTGGGAGAATGTACATAGTAAGTTTTATACCACAATAGGTAATGGTTGTGGGAGAATGTACATAGTAAGTTTTATACCACAATAGGTAATGGTTGTGGGAGAATGCACATAGTAAGTTTTATACTACAATTGGGAATAGTTGTGGGAGAATGCACATAGTAAGTTTTATACCACAATAAGTAATGGTTGTGGGAGAATGCACATAGTAAGTTTTATACCACAATAGGTAATGGTTGTGGGAGAATGTACATAGTAAGTTTTATACTACAATTGGGAATAGTTGTGGGAGAATGCACATAGTAAGTTTTATACCACAATAAGTAATGGTTGTGGGAGAATGTACAAAGTAAGTTTTATACTACAATTGGGAATAGTTGTGGGAGAATGTACATAGTAAGTTTTATACCACAATAAGTAATGGTTGTGGGAGAATGTACATAGTAAGTTTTATACCACAATAGGTAATAGTTGTGGAAGAATGCACATAGTAAGTTTTATACCACAATAGGGCAATGGTTGTGGGAGAATGTACATAGTAAGTTTTATACCACAATAGGTAATAGTTGTGGGAGAATGCACACAGTAAGTTTTATACCACAATAGGTAATAGTTGTGGGAGAATGCACATAGTAAGTTTTATACCACAATAGGGCAATGGTTGTGGGAGAATGCACACAGTAAGTTTTATACCACAATAGGTAATAGTTGTGGGAGAATGCACATAGTAAGTTTTATACCACAATAGGTAATAGTTGTGGGAGAATGCACACAGTAAGTTTTATACCACAATAGGTAATAGTTGTGGGAGAATGTACATAGTAAGTTTTATACCACAATAGGTAATAGTTGTGGGAGAATGCACACAGTAAGTTTTATACCACAATAGGTAATAGTTGTGGGAGAATGTACATAGTAAGTTTTATACCACAATAGGTAATGGTTGTGGGAGAATGTACATAGTAAGTTTTATACCACAATAGGTAATGGTTGTGGGAGAATGCACATAGTAAGTTTTATACTACAATTGGGAATAGTTGTGGGAGAATGCACATAGTAAGTTTTATACCACAATAAGTAATGGTTGTGGGAGAATGCACATAGTAAGTTTTATACCACAATAGGTAATGGTTGTGGGAGAATGTACATAGTAAGTTTTATACTACAATTGGGAATAGTTGTGGGAGAATGCACATAGTAAGTTTTATACCACAATAAGTAATGGTTGTGGGAGAATGTACAAAGTAAGTTTTATACTACAATTGGGAATAGTTGTGGGAGAATGTACATAGTAAGTTTTATACCACAATAAGTAATGGTTGTGGGAGAATGTACATAGTAAGTTTTATACCACAATAGGTAATAGTTGTGGAAGAATGCACATAGTAAGTTTTATACCACAATAGGGCAATGGTTGTGGGAGAATGTACATAGTAAGTTTTATACCACAATAGGTAATAGTTGTGGAAGAATGCACATAGTAAGTTTTATACCCGTATAGGTAAGATTGGTGAAAGAATGCACACAAAAAGTTATGCACTGCTACAGGTAACAATGATGAAAGAATGCACAGGTAACAGTTGTGGGAGAATGCACACAGTAATGTATATAAAACATGTATATAGTAAGAATAGTAGATAACTATTATTTTTTAGCATGTTTCTCTACACTAAATTTGATTGCTTAAATCTGTTTTCTTTGTTGAACTTGCTAGGGAAACCAGATCCAGTGTACTTGGATGTTGAAATTGATAACTTTATAGTTAAAGTCAAACTTGACTTTCAGCAAGAGTTCTCAAATGTTTTAAAGATCTACACTTCTGTGCTGGATAAAGGTCTCGCTGAAACATGTGTGGCCTATGTTAGTGGAATACCTGGGGTAGGTAGATATGTTAGTGGAATACCTGGGGTAGGTAGATATGTTAGTGGTATACCTGGGGTAGGTAGATATGTTAGTGGTATACCTGGGGTAGGTAGATCTGTTAGTGGTACACCTGGGGTAGGTAGGTATGTTAGTGGAATACCTGGGGTAGGTAGATATGTTAGTGGAATACCTGGGGTAGGTAGATGTGTTAGTGGAATACCTAGGGTAGGTAGATATGTTAGTGGAATACCTGGGGTAGGTAGATGTGTTAGTGGAATACCTGAGGTAGGTAGATATGTTAGTGGAATACCTGAGGTAGGTAGATATGTTAGTGGAATACCTGGGGTAGGTAGGTAGATATGTTAGTGGTATACCTGGGGTAGGTAGATATGTTAGTGGAATACCTGGGGTAGGTAGATATGTTAGTGGAATACCTGGGGTATGTAGATATGTTAGTGGAATACCTGGGGTAGGTAGATATGTTAGTGGAATACCTGGGGTAGGTAGATATGTTAGTGGAATACCTGGGGTAGGTAGGTATGTTAGTGGAATACCTGGGGTAGGTAGATATGTTAGTGGAATACCTGGGGTAGGTAGATATGTTAGTGGAATACCTGGGGTAGGTAGGTATGTTAATGGAATACCTGGGGTAGGTAGATATGTTACTGGAATACCTGGGGTAGGTAGATATGTTAGTGGTATACCTGGGGTAGGTAGGTATGTTAGTGGAATACCTGGGGTAGGTAGATATGTTACTGGAATACCTGGGGTAGGTAGATATGTTAGTGGTATACCTGGGGTAGGTAGGTAGATATGTTATGTGTGGCACATGTTCTTGGAATGCCTGTAAAGTAAAACTTTTTAATTTAGCTTGCAACAGGTTGTGTTTATATTCCCAAAACAAGTCACTTGGCTTTATTGCTCTTGTTGTTTTGTTTAATGGACTTTACCGAGCTGAGGAGAGTCCATCCATCCTAAGTGTTGACATTAATAAAAAAAAATATGGTTTTTTTTTTAGATTTTGCAATCAGCCACCAGTAAAAATAATAAAACATAAAACTTAAGCCTGAAAATATTTCAGAAATTTATTATTTTTAGAATAAGTGTTGGGGAAGTTGGAAATCCAGAGTACTTTAAAAGTTTTTTTTTAGTTTCTATTTATTCTATTTATTGCTATTTATTTTCATCACCTTAAAGTTATTACCTGAATTTTCACTTTCGTAAGACAAACATTGATTGGTTGTACAGGAACTCAACAATAAATATTCTGACAGCCCCACATCATAGTTATTTGTTTACAAAACTTTGCCTATAAAATTTTGCTATTTTAAACCATACCACCTAGTTCTGCCATTTTTGTTTGTATTTTGTATGATAATATTTATGCTGGCCTATCAAATAGCAGGATGTCATTGTTTATGTCGCCATTAACACATGAAAACCAAATAGCTTTTGTCCTATTTGTTTAAATTGTGTTTTATGACAGAAAATACTAAAACATCAAATACATCTATTCTTTATTGAAGCCCAACTAAAGCCAAACAGGATTTATAACCAAATTATTTTTAATTAAACCTTCCTTGATTTAGTAAATGTTTAATAGGCCTCTCAATAATTTTGAGACTATTCTCAGTAGGGTCCATTACTTAACTTAAGAAAAAAAGAGTTCCTGTTCAGATGATTAGCATTAGAGTCTGACCCTAACATTACATTATGTCCCAGGTTAATTATTCAATTCAATCATGGAAAAGTATTACCATGTTTTTTTAGTTTAAACTGTTTTGCTTTGTCATGTGCACTGTAATATATAACACAGGTATAGTCTAATGAATTAGAATTTAATTGATAGAAAACAACTTCACCCTCCTTTACAGGATGTGGCTGAGAAAACAAAGGTCAAGATAATTACTCAAGGCAAAAATAATGCTTTGTCAAAAAACTACGTAGTTCTACAGAATATCCAACGTTTGAAGGTAGGTGTAACTTAATGGAGAAATATATTGTGTACATACTGTAGAACTGACCACTCCCCAGAACATTCTGTAGAACTGACCACTCCCAGAACATTCTGTAGAACTCACCACTCCCCAGAACATTCTGTACAACTGACCACTCCCCAGAACATTCTGCACAACTGACCACTCCCCAGAACATTCTGTACAACTGACTGCTCCCCAGAACATTCTGTAGAACTGACCACTCCCCAGAACATTCTGTAGAACTGACCACTCCCCAGAACATTCTATAGAACTGACAACTCCCAGAACATTCTGTAGAACTCACCACTCCCAGAACATTCTGTAGAACTGACCACTCCCCAGAACATTCTGTAGAACTGACCACTCCCCAGAACATTCTCTAGAACTTTGACCGTTTTTGTTTTATCTGACCAGAACCCCATGAAAATTACTGTCGCTGTGATGTGTAGATCGCCTGATGTAAATAAAACTGTAGAGGTCAACGACCTGGGTCTCCCTCTGGTGGCCAAGCTACAGCTGTGGAAAGAGGTACCTGAGCTTTTGTTCAACAGGGTGGCGGAGGAAGTTGAAGAGGAAGAATCAATATCCAACATGGGATTTTGATTCTTTTTTTTTGGCGCTAAATTAAGGAGGTAAAATCAATATACAACAAGGGATTTTAATTATTTTTTGGCGCTAAATTAAGGAGGTAAAAATCAATATACAACAAGGGATTTTAATTCTTTTTTGGCGCTAAATTAAGGAGGTAAAATCAATATACAACAAGGGATTTTGATTCTTTTTTTTTGCCGCTAAATTAAGGAGGTAAAATCAATATACAACAAGGGATTTTAATTCTTTTTTGGCACTAAGTTGAGGAGGAGAAATCAATGTCCAACTATTGCTATATTATTTTTGCCTTTTCTCATAAAGCTTGGGCTTGTTTTGATTCGTTTGTTTTTTATTCAGAAATTTGTATAATTGTCAAAGTAGAAGTTGTTAAATTTCAGAGGGAAAAATAATGTTCATTCTTCAAAATCATATGCATGATAACCATTTAGAATATTGTGAAACAAAACTACCTCTATAAGCATAAGCTTATTTGATGACTGTAAAATTAAATCAAATATTTCTAGAGAAAGATATGGTGTATATTTTTTAATAAATCACTTACACATGGCTTATATTATTCTTATTTTTTTAAACTCTGTAATAAAATTATGATTAGTTAGCTATAGTAGTGTGAAAGCTAGAAACTTTCTTTTTCTCCAAATACTTTACTTCATTTTAGTTATATAGTGCTTAATTATAGCATTTGTTTCTTCTTATATAAGCCATTGCCAACTTAATTAATACCAGAATTACAAAATATTCACTTTATTTAGGAATTTACTAACTATCAATAGTTGAAAAATGAATAAACTTTTTTTTAAAAGATCTTAGTCACTAAGATATTTTTATTTTCTATATCTTACTGTGTACCAAAAAAAATAGTTTAAGATACTAGTCAATAAATGATTGTTGCTCAATGAAAAGTTTTTTATTTGAATGTCATGAATTTGGTTAAGATGTACCAATATTCTCATTTTAAACACAGAAATAAAATTGACACTTATGTTAGAAGGTATGTGGTGTTGTAGGGGAGAAAACTGCTTTTGTCTGTCTTGTTTTATTGACAACTAGAATTGTCTAGCCCGGTGTGAATCTTTTATATAGAGAAGGCAGCTCACACAAAATATTACAAAGGTGTAATCAGGATTAGTAATGTGTTATAAGTCAAATTTGCATGATTTTATTTTTAATACTGGATTTATATTTTCATAGATCAAATTGCTTGTGGCCCATTATTTTCTACTGTTGGTGGCCCATTATTTTCTGCTGATGGTGGCCCATTATTTTCTACTGATGGTGGTCTGTTATTTTCTTTTGATGTTGGCTCTCTTTCAGGGATCTGGACCACATGAATGGGTCTCAGTGTTTTTAGTTGTTGCCACTTGTTAAAACTGTTATTTTAGTTGCAAGTAAAATGTAGTGATGGACATCTCAGTAAAATAAAAGTCTCATCTTTTAATGAGAGGCTGATGACAAGCTGTTCCTTTTACTCAGGTGTTCAACAGGTCAATATGACAAAATGGTTTGTTCTTTTTTAATTCAGTTAAAAAACATTATTTTTTAATCTGAATTTCTTTGTTCTTGTTGTCTGACTTTCATTTCAAATTAAATAAAGTCAGGCTTTTGATGTTAGTCATACAGCAGACAATACTTAGGGGTCATCCATAAATGACGTCACGCTTTTTTGATGATTTTTACCTTCCCTCCTCACTTCCGTCACTCGTCACAAAAAGTCAGACCCCCCCCCCCCACCTCTAAAATGACGTCACACCTCAGCCTACAACCCCCCCCTCAAAATTGCAGTTGAATTTTTTTTAAAACATCGATATTTTTCCAAAATCTTGTCTGAACTATGTCAAAATAGAGTATTTTGATCAATTCCTATTAGAATTTATCAAAACAGTTTTCTAAAACGTGAAATAACGTCTAAAATTCGTTTTCTAACATTGCTTTTTTATAATGCAAAAGTGTGACATAGCACCATCTGACCCCCCCCCCCCTCCCCCAAATCACACACTGTCACAAAATTACAGACCCCCTCCCCCCCCCCCCCCTTGAGTGTGACGTCATTTATGGATGACCCCCTTATCAAAGATTGTGTAGTTTTGTTTAACAGAGTACTGAAACTAAAAGTATTTTAAAATGTAAATTTCATTCCTTCAGCTTTTTTCTACCAGTCCTCGTTTGGTAACTCCATTTTGAAGGAATGAATTGAATTGTCAAAATTTAAAACATTACCCTTATTTGTTTCATTGTCTTTGACAACTGATTTTCATTTTTGTCTGATTGTATTAAAAAATATATGATAAATATCTTTTTAAAAAAATGTATGTTTTAAGCCCTTAAAAACCTTATGAATTGTTCATGTCTTGTAGAAAACTGATGTATATAAAATGTACATATTTTTATAACATTGACCAAATTGTACATAATTTTTATAATTGCTTAATGAAATGTCCATTAATTGAACGCTACTGTCCAAAATTGATTATTTTAATTTTAAAATGAGCTAATACTTATTAAATGAAAATTGGTGTTATTAACTTTTAAAATGAGCTAATACTTATTAAATGAAAATTCTACTCAAGTCACGTGTGTTTATTAAACCAATTCTTTCGAACTTTAGAGAAAAAATGGTTTGTCTCTCACAATCTTAGTCTTGGCTTCTTGAATTAGTCAACCTTTTTTTTTTTCTAATTTTATTTTCTCCCCTATAAAAATTATTCACATCAAGTATGAACTTAAACTTTTTGGTGTGTCAAGAAATGGGGGTCCATTAATTTGAGTCACCTCAGCATATAATGTGGATTGATGTCACCACAATTAATTTTCCTTGACTTTTGATGCCACTTAGGATTGAATGGGGAGTGGTGTCCTTTGGATTTAAAGGTTCAACTAGGTGTGAACTAAAAAAAAATCAAATCGGTGGATACATTTATTTTTATTTCATTAAAGAGGTGCAACAATTGAAAATAAAATTCTATAAAACAAAGTTTAAAAAAAAAACATTCAAAAAATATATTCAGCATAGATTTTATAAATATTTTTACAATAAAATAGTTTAACAATCACATCTAACGTAAAGATTCAGTTTTTGGCATTTCATTTTAAAAAACAAATAGGTTAAAGGATGCAAATGTCTTTATTCTGTTAGTATTCTACATCCTAAATGGCACCATCTGAGAAAACTGTACCATGGTTTCCACTTTTTTTCATGACTTTGAACATAGCTTAGGTATAAAATAAAATTGATGGGTTATGTATTGCTATAGTACAGGGGTCTCCAAACTTTTCAGTCCGAGGGCCGCATTAACTATCAAATTTCAGTTCGGGGGCCAGTTTCTTCCAGGCATGTCTTTGATTTTTCTGGGCAAAGTTCCTCAGCCATCACCATCAAACGTTTTTTCCGTGCACAAAAAGATCTCCGCGGGCCGTAATTTGGAGACCCCTGCTATAGTATAAAACAATTTTTAGATTAAATTCAATGCCTTTGACAAGGGATTTTAATTTTTCAGGACTTGAAAAATGTCACTTGGTATAAAATGAAATTGGTGGGTTGATTATGGCTTTAGCATAAAATTTAATTTTTAGATTAATTCACAGCTTTGGATGGACATTTACAATGTAACAGGTGGGTTATTAAGACTTTGGTATAAACTTATGTTGGCTTGTGGGACATAAGGTTGATATAAATTATAAAATTAAACTGGCTTGCCTCTACTAATAAGACTTTGGTATAAACTTATGTTGGCTTGTTAAGGTTGATATAAATTATAAAATTAAACTGGTTTGCCTCTACTACTTGTGTGGAGCTTTCTCTCCATTTGTCTGCTGTAGAGGTGGCAACCTTAAAGGTCTTCGCGTTTGGGTGGTTTTATATTTGGACTGTTGTGTTCTGGCAACTGGTTCACTCAGAGAACTCTCCTGCAGTGAGTTTTTGTTTTGGTCTGTAGAAATAGGTTTCAGCAGCTGCTTTGATGTGATGGTAAGCTGGAGTAGATCGTGGATGTTCTCACGATTGGGTGACTTGTTAGATAAACTGTTGGGTTTTCTGATTAGCCCAGGTCTAGTGAGAGACGTTTTTGATGGGCTGATTGGTTTCTTGATGTTTGTAGGAAGCTGTGAGGAGGTTGTGACTGAAGGGGATGTTTTGGAGAAAGGAAATCTTGGTGAAGGGGAGTTTACTGTAGTCGTTTGATTTGGGTGGGGTAAGGATTTTATTGGAGCTAGAACAGGGGTTGAGATGGTCGTGGTACGAGGGGTCACAGAAACTTGGGGTCTTGGAGATTTAGATAGGAGGGTGGGGTCTGTCATTAAACCAGGGGATGACACATCTGGTTGAGAAAGTGGTGTTTTATTATCTGTGTCTTCTACTTCTAGTAATGTAGGATTATCATTCACTTCGTTCTCACTTGCTGTCTTGTCTTGTAATGGTGTTCTGTCACTTTCTGTCAAATCAGTTTCCCCTTGTTCAGGTGCTGTTTTTGTTTCATTACCTTGAAACAAACTTTCCCTGTTATTTTCTACTGATGGCGGTCTGTTATTTTCTTTTGATGTTGGCTTGTTATTTTCTACTGATGGTGGCCTTTTATTTTCAACTGATTGTGGCCCATTATTTTCTACTGATGGTGGCCTTTTATTTTCAACTGATTGTGGCCCATTATTTTCTATTGATGGTGGCCTGTTATTTTCTACTGATGGTGTCCTGTAATTTTCTTTTGATTGTGGCCTGTCATTTTCTTTTGATGGTGGCCTGTTATTTTCTTTAGATTGTGACCTGTCATTTTCTTTTGATTGTGGCCTGTCATTTTCTTTTGATGGTGGCCTGTCATTTTCTTTTGATGGTGGCCTGTTATTTTCTTTTGATTGTGGCCTGTCATTTTCTTTTGATTGTGGCCTGTCATTTTCTGTTGATGGTGGCCTGTCATTTTCTTTTGATGGTGGCCTGTCATTTTCTTTTGATTGTGGCCTGTCATTTTCTTTTGATTGTGGCCTGTCATTTTCTTTTGATTGTGGCCTGTTGTTTTCTTTTGACAATGGCCTGTTATTTTCTTTTGATGGTGGCCTGTTGTTTTCTTTTGACGATGGCCTGTTATTTTCTTTTGATGGTGGCCTTTTATTTTCTTCTGACGGTGAGCTATTACTTGCTCCTAAATCCTCATTTTTTTGCTCAGTTATTAAATTTACTCCGGTGTTTGTCAAAGACTTCTCCTTTAAAAGTGTCTTTGATTCATCCTCAACACTGATTTCCTCCTGTGAATGTGGTCTCTCATCCCCCTCCTTTAAAGAGTTTGCATCTTCTGCATTGGCTATTTTAGAAGATGCTCTGTCAACAGTTGCTACAACATCAGGAATATTTGTGATTGTCATGGGAACATGTTCCTTTATCTTGCTCAGAAGCTCTTCAAATTTTGGCCCTTCCCAAGTCAACTGAACATCTTCATCCTGTGGAAAACAGTTTTGGCATGGCCTATCAAATCATTTAAATCACGCCTTGAGGTCCATGTGGCAGGTGAAGTAGAGTTTACCTGTTTCAGTGACCTCAGGATATGAAGGGATATTGTGAGAAAATTATAACAACTTACAAATTAAATTAAGTAAAAATCCTAAAACCAGATGATTTTTTTAATTAAATTAAAAAATGCTAAAGTGAGGAGTTTTTTTTTTTTAATTTCCACAAAATAAAATAAAACTTTAGGAGAGAAAAAAAGACCTTAGCAAAATTGATGTACAAAAGCTGTGTCATAAGCTTACCTTAGCAAAGTTGATGTACAAAAGCTGTGTCATAAGCTTACCTTAGCAAAGTTGATGTACAAAAGCTGTGTCATGAGCTTACCTCAGCAAAGTTGATGTACAAAATCTGTGTCATGACCTTACCTTAGCAAAGTTGATGTACAAAAGCTGTGTCATGACCATACTCATAGGTCCAGCTGGTGGCCAGGTCATCTGCTCCATCAGTAAAGGTACCAGCGGTTTCTTCAGTGCATCGGTCAAGCTGACCTCACGTCTGCAGTTGGCAGAAAGGGCATACTTTTGTGTCACACACGACAAGACGACCTTACAGCCACGAATACCTCTGTCAATTTTGTCAAAGAGGGAGTCGCCTCCCCCCATTTGTTTGATGTCCAGCCAACAGCTGAAGCCAAGAGAGGTCAAGCGTTCATAAAGTTTGATGATGTTTTTCTGTTTGCCCCATTGGTACGAGATGAAAACATCTGGAGAATCTGATGCCTATAAATATTTGAATTATTTTTTTAATTTTTTTTTTTTAGTTTATATCAGAGTTTAGAAGAAAATAAAATTAATACAAACTCATCTAAAACAATAAATATGAACTTACCTTTTTATCTAATTCTGTTTGAATTGTTTCAGATGCTTGGCCTCCATTTTGTGTTTTACTTTTGTCAATTTTAATTTCTTCAAAAACTGGCATCCACCAGTTTCTATACACTTAGAACATTAAAAGAAATGTGCTTAAAATAATATATATAATTTTTCGCTTAATTGTTTTACTTTAATATAATGAGAGCAACATGAAAAGTTTTATTTGTTTTACCTGGTTGCACCTTGTCCTCAACTGGAGGTAGACCCAGCACATTAAACTGCATGAGCAACTCTTGAAATTTGTCTTTGGGCCAAAACCTTTGATCCTCCAGTTCCTCCCCTTTACGTTGAAAGAATCGGATGAACAGATACTCACTAAAAATTGGCCCCATTGAGCCAGGGGGTGGCCAGGGACATTGTTCCAGTAGTAAAGGTATTATAGGTTTGTTTAGACTCACTGATAAATTTACCTGGAATTAATTAAAGTAATTTCTTATTAGTAAAGATGCTGATAACTTATAAATGAAAACTTATATCTAGGTTTTGTAAGATCCTAATTTAATTTAAAATTAACTATTTGATTTTTCTAAATTTTCAGAGATAAGATTTTTTTTCAATTATTTTTTTAGACTAACAAATAACAGACATTCAGTGACTTCTCTAATATTAAAACATCATAAATATTATTATCAAATTTAAATACTCACTTGGTTAAATTACTATTTTTAGCTTCTTATTGTTATTTTAGGGGGCAGCATGGCAAAACAGTATAAAGCTAGACTGCTAACTCAAAATTCTCAAGGTCAAAACCAAGTTTAAATCAGTAGAATGTCCCTGAGTTCACCCAGCTCTGATGGGTACCAAGCTTATGTTAGGGAATCAAAGCAGCATAGTGCTGATCACATTATCACCTTGTATGCTGAGGTCATTGGAACAAATGAACTCTACTTCATCTGCCCCATATGTCTTGGGCAAAAACAGGAAAAGATGAGGATGGTAGTTTTAGTATCTCATAAAAACTAAGTTTATCATTTGATAAAAGACGGCATCAGAAAACTATTTGCTAACTAATAAAAACTGACCTCTCTGTTGCAGTTGGGAGACTTGGCATACTTTGTTGTGACACAACTAATAACCACTTTAGCTGCTCTGATCCCTGTGTCAATTTTCTCAAACAGTTTGTCCCCACCCCCCATTTGACCAACGTCCAGCCAGCACTCGTATCCAGCCATTTCCAAATGTTGCTTTAGAAGTTTCACTTCATTCTGATGTCCCCACTGATAGCTTATAAATATTGGTGGAGGAGAGGCATATTCAAAGGCTTCGTCTTCTACAACAGCCTCTGTGAACCAAAATGTAAACATGCAAACGCAGAAATAAGTTAACTACAATATTCTAATTAATAAAACTTTGTATAGTTTAATTTATTAGTTTAACACATTGTATGAAGATGTTGAAATAAATATTTTTATTAAAGAAAAAAAAAAGTTAATACAAATTTGGTGTAGATCAGACTATAAGTATGCTATTTTTTAAAATTATTTTAAAGCTAAACATTTTTAAATAGGGCCTTGCCCAGAAGAAGATGATCTTGATAAACAAGTAATATGTTCAACTGTAGACTAACATGATTTACATACCAGCATTTTTCATGGCATTTTCCACAATAATTGCTGCATCCATTCTGTCCATTTCTTGCAACTGTGTCAGTATGGAAAGAGTTGCTTCACTTGTTTTATGAGTTGCATACCTTTATTTTTAAAAAGAGAATTTTTAAAATAATTTTTTCAAAGGTTTTTAATGTTTTATTTTAAATTTAAATTCTACATGGTTAAGGTTAAAAGCCAAAACAATCTATCCATTTTTTTTAGAATCAGTATAGAAATTAAGTTACCACTATCTTCTATATGAGGTGGTGTGGTTAAGTGATAGAGCAAGTCAACTAACATGAGTTTTGAGTTCAGTTTACAGACTTGGGCAATCAGAATATCACTCAGTTTACCCAAGTTAGGGAGAATAAAGGCAAAGAACTGATCATACTATCATTACTCAGTTTACCCAAGTTAGGGAGAATAAAGGCAAAGAACTGATCATACTATCATTACTCAGTTTACCCAAGTTAGGGAGAATAAAGGCAAAGAACTGATCATACTATCATTTCTCAGTTTACCCAAGTTAGGGAGAATAAAGGCAAAGAACTGATCATACTATCATTACTCAGTTTACCCAAGTTAGGGAGAATAAAGGCAAAGAACTGATCATACTATCATTACTCAGTTTACCCAAGTTAGGGAGAATAAAGGCAAAGAACTGATCATACTATCATTACTCAGTTTACCCAAGTTAGGGAGAATAAAGGCAAAGAACTGATCATACTATCATTTCTCAGTTTACCCAAGTTAGGGAGAATAAAGGCAAAGAACTGATTATACTATCATTACTCAGTTTACCCAAGTTAGGGAGAATAAAGGCAAAGAACTGATCATACTATCATTACTCAGTTTACCCAAGTTAGGGAGAATAAAGGCAAAGAACTGATCATACTATCATTTCATATCCGAGGTCAAAGAAACAGGTGAACTCTAATCCCTATGAGTTCATAAAGGGATAATTTAATCTTCTTTTATTCTGTAAAAAGAGTTAAGCCTACTGTCTACTAATTTACCTCTTTTCTAAAAAGCTTACCATTCATTCAACATAGCCATACAAGGATCTGCCTGTTGTGCCCAACCTCTGATGTCATCATTGCTGTATTGTAATCTTTTGCTAAGCAGACGCCAATCATGCTCTGATGTTGGGTTCAAAAGTTTTGATACATCTCTCGACCAGTAAGGGGCGTGGTTAAGTGTCTGTGTGGTTTAAAAATGGAAATTGGTGTTTTATAGAACTCCTAAAAAATAATGCTAGAAAAATTTGAAAATGACTATAAAATGTGAGAAACCCTTCTGTTTTTTTATTGATTTCAAACAAATGATGATTTTAAATTAATTACTCATCTGCTTAATTTGCATCATTTTAAGAATTAGAAACCAAAGAAAAAAGAAGAGTCCTTAAGAAAACAAAAATATATAATTGGAGTCTTTTTTTAAATAAAAAAAAAATTTTCCAAGATAAAAATACCCCCCTGTATCATGATGAATAGAACAATACCTTTTGGTCAATTTCCTCAACTTTAGCCACTGTCTCTTCCACAGTGACCTCCACTTCATTTAACCTTTGGCCTTGGTCCTTGACCTCATTTTCCACACTGGCCAGTTTTTCCCCTTGTTGGCTGACCTCTTCCTTAATATCTGTTAAAAGCTCAGCCGTCTCATCTACTCTGCCAATTAGATTTACCAGGTCCTCTTCCTGTTTTTTCATCATCTTCACCATCTCATCAGATCTGAAGTATCAAGAAACAGGAAATAAACCACATCCCAATGAATAAAAGTGTTGTTATCAAGGTGGATTTTTATTAGCTACCAATATTTTACAACAGCATGTACAAATTAACATCTATTTGATTTTATTGTAACCAAACTGGCAACACTATTTAAATTTGTGCAGAGTGAGTTAGTTGTTACCAAAGGAAAGATGGTCATATTTTTTTTTATTTAAGAATTTCTATACAGGAGCAAATATTTATTACTTTTGTCTTATAATTTTCAGTTATTTTTAAAAACCAATGCTGAAAGTTTTTCTGGAATTTTTTTTAATTTAACTCATACTGCAACTCTGGTAAGTCATATAATTTTCCTTATGTTTTTAATCTAGCTCATAATGCAACTCTGATAAGTCATATAATTTCCTTACGTTTTAATCTAGATTGTAATGCAACTCTGATAAGCCTTGTAATTTCCTTACGTTTTTAATCTAGATTGTAATGCAACTCTGATAAGCCTTATAATTTCCTTACATTTTTAAACTAGATTGTAATGCAACTCTGATAAGTCATATAATTTCCTTACGTTTTGCCATCTATCATGTCCAGCACTGCCTGCCTGAGGTTCAAACATTCAGGATCACTTATTTGGATATTTTCTAGTTCGGATCTTCTGGGCTTTAGTAAATCTGGATATTTGAACCCCAGCATCCGGATGGTGTTGATCAGTATCATCTGAGTCATTTTATCCTGGCTGGTTTTCAGAGCGTCCAACTGGTCATCAAGAACTTTTGGTGCCACATCCTGAAATTTTGGGGGAAATTTCTTCAGTTTCACTCTTTTATTGTTACTTTTCTCTTGCATTTATTTTACCTGCCAATATGCCTATTTAAATGTTTGCACTAAAATCTTACATACAATACAGAATGTACAAGCTTTGTTGATACAGAAATAAAATTTGGTAAAAATCAAATACTTCAGTAGGTGAATAGTTATTGTGCAGAGGGAAGATAGAATGTGTTGATGGAAAACTCAAGAAACTTAAAACTGTAGGGAAAAGTTTTGTTTAAGATGTAAGTCGTAGTTGATGTTATAGAGATCATGCTCTTAGTTATGGTATAAAAAATTACACTTCTTTGACTTCCACTACTTTATATAACATTATATTAGTTTCCTAGAACTTAACTTCAAAAAATAAAATATTTATTATGATATATATATATATATATATATATATATATATATATATATATATATATAAAATATATATATATATATATATATATATATATATATATAAAATATATATATATATATATATATATATATATATATATATATATATATATATATATATATATATATATATATATATATATATATATATATATATATATATATATATATATATGATATATCTCTATTTGAGAACATAGGCTAATTGATTTTAATTATTATTTTGATTTCAAACCAATCAATAAAATCATACTTTTTTATAAAATGCCAAGGCAATGAGCATTTCATTGATGATTGTTCCAAGTGCAGGGTTCCACAAAGACCTATCCAGCAACGTATCAATATGTCCCAGCATGCTCTCTGGGCGTCTCTTTGTCAATTCTTGTAAAATGAGTAAAGCTTGGGAATTGGAACTCTCTTGTGCTTTGTTCAGAATTACTTCAATATCTTGATCAGTAAATAGCTGTTAGGAATTTATTTTTTTCATAGCTTAAGCATCAAGAGAAAACTTGTAAAAATTCTGGTAAGTCATTTCTAATCTACATTTTTCCTTGAAGTGTTACCCTAACTAAACCACTGACACTATCCATATCCCTAATATAAGTGCTAACAGAAAAATAACTGATACAATACAATATTTTCCTATGTTTTTTATAAGAGCCATAACAAAACTAACATAAAGAATATGGAAGACACTGAAATAGTATTTCGTTTAATTATATTTTTAAGTAATGATATGCTTTGTTTAACAATAATTGTATCTTGTATAATTAAGACATTACTGAGTTATTTTGTTAATTAAATATCAATTATGTTTATGTTGATATACCTCTGCCTGCATCTGTGACATTTTCTGAAACAAGTCTAAAAGACTTGAAGCAATGCTAGGGTCCCCACTCTCCTCATACAAGCTCATCAGAGGTCGGTAGAAATCCCTCAGTGCTTTAGGGTTAATGGGGTAAGCTGCTGTGGCTGTCTCTAAAGTTTAGATACATTTTGTGACAGGTTTTCATTGTGGACACATTTAATAAAACAATTTTTTAAAAAGTAACTTTGTAATAAGAAAATAAAACCTGCTTTCTTTAATAAAGGCATTGATCATTCCTGAAATCTCTTTGACATTTTAGCTTTTATTTAAGAAAGCACGGGTTTTTTTTTACTTTCTTATTTTCAAAGTATTTAAAAGCATTTTGTTATGAAGGTGTGGGTTTTTTCTACTATTTTATAATTATGAATTTTTTAAATTTTAATAGTATGTCAGGGTTTGGTATTTAAGAAATAATTAGTAAGCTTTCTTTTGGCATTCTGTTTATTCTTAATGTGGTCAATAATATGTGTAACAATAAAAAATATTAACAAAAAGCTTATAAAAAGCATCATAAAATTAAAATATTAATTTCATGTTGGGGTAAGTAAAAACTTAAATCATAAACTAAATTATAATACATAATAAAGTTTTCAATTTGGTAGGTTACTGTTGCTATGTATAGTTTTATATCAATAACAAATATTTCAACCAAATTCATCCCAAATTTTAAGAACAGATAAAAAAAAAATGAGTCGTTTGATTAGGGGTAAACAAAATAAACATATGCCAAACTTACGCAACAGCTGTATATTATCCTTCTTTAGGTAACTCTCCATTATTTGGTCCAGATAAGGAGCTATAGCTCTGTGACCTGATGTGACAGTGGCATACATGTACAGGTACACTCCAGTCAGTGTGACGACATTCTCATCATCCACATCCAGACATTTCAAGAGTTCTGGCACCAGGGGTGAGGCCAGGTCATATCTGTTCAAAGCTATAAGCTGGAATAGTGATGAATATAATCGTTCTATACAAGGCTATAAGCTGGAATAGTGATGAATATAATCGTTCTATACAAGGCTATAAGCTGGAATAGTGATGAATATAATCGTTCTATACAAGGCTATAAGCTGGAATACAATCATTCTATACAAGTCTACAGGCTGAAATACTGTTAAATATAATCATTCTATACAAGGCTATAGGCTGAAATAGTGTTAAATACAATCATTCTATACAAGTCTATAGGATGGAATAGTATTAAATATAATCCTTCTATACAAGTCTATAGGCTGGAATACTGTTAAATATAATCATTCTATACAAGGCTATAGGCTGAAATAGTGTTAAATACAATCCTTCTATACAAGTTTATAGGCTGGAATAGTGTTAAATGCCTCGATTTTGTTCAAAGCTATAAGCTATATACTTTTTTAATATGCTAAGTCACAAGCTGTCTACATTTTACTATTTTCTTTTGTAATTTTTTTTTTTTAATTTCTAAATTGTATCAACATTTTTTCTTCTAAAAATACTTTTCTGATGAAAACATTATCTAAAAACTTTGATTGAGATACACAAAATTATCAAAATAGCTGTGAAAATTATACTTAAAAATCAGGTTTTAATTTTAAAGATTATATGTAAAATAAAACGTACCCATCTGTTGAGTGGCTTGATGGCACTCAGGAAAATGGAGTAGTGCGTAGAAGGGAAGAGGCCGGTCTCTGGGTTGATACAATCATACTGAAGGCAGGTCAGGCAGATGGAGAGGAACACTTGAAAATCTTCATCTGTCATTATTTTACCATCTCTGGTAAATGGAAAAAAAAAGCCAGCATGTCTCAACTTGGAACCTATCACTTTAATTAGTCTAATACTAGCTGTAAGATGTCTAATTTCACATGCTTTGTTTGAAATATATTTTAAAATGTACTTATTTTGTTGGAATTAATTTTATAAATAACATTTCAATCTACCTATTTTTAATAGAAATATAAAGATCTCTTTAAAGTTTATTACAATGTTAATTCAAGTAATAAAGGAATTGTGTAGTAGGTTTCTAGCCACCAGTCAAGGAGATTTTATGTTGAGCTAATGGATATAATAATAAGTGACTGACATTATAGGGGTGTGATTAAGGGTGGGGAAGGAGTGGTCTTAGCATATGTTTCTACCTGCTGTTTGATCTAATAAGTTTTGACAGGTAATTTTTCCTTCTAAATTAACAGTCCTGAGATCGAATTTACATGCACATTTAGTACTACATTTGAACATAATAAAGTATTAAGCATATTAAAATATTTAATATGATACGTCTAAATTTATTCAATAAGCAAATATCTTTGCTGTAATCTGAATTTTATATCTACATACAGTGTGATTTTTTTAATGGGTTTTAATTATCTAAAAATTAGAATGATGTGTTAAATGAAATGTCTCATTAGTGATAGACTTCTAAATCAATGATTCGTCAATGTTTACTCACGTCAATTATTTGTCTATTTTAGTCCATGATTTGTCTATGTTCAGTCATGATTTGTCTATGCTCAGTCAATTATTTGTCTATGTTTAGTTGATGATTAGTCTATGTTTAGTCAATAATTTGTCTATGTTCAGTCAGTGATTTGTCTAAGTTAAGTCGATGATTAGTCTATGTTTAGTCAATTATTTGTCTATGTTCAGTCAATGATTTGTCTATGTTAGTCATTGATTTGTCTATGTTCAGTCCATGATTTGTCTATGTTCAGTCCATGATTTGTCTATGTTCAGTCAATGATTTGTCTATGTTTACTTGACTGGTTCAGTGGCCGTGTCAAGAAAATCTACAGCAGCTCTCTGTAGAGGCCAACTGGACGGCCAAGGAAGATCCTCATTTTTTATAAGCTCATGCAGTTCTTTAACATGTTCTATCATGGCATTCTTATCTTCCTGCAGTGAATATGTTTTTAATTTGAGTTATGTTACATTCATTGGATTATAACAATTTATAATGGCTTTGAAATGAAATCTTTACAGATGAACCTTCTGCACTAGGGCCATCACATCTAAAATAACTCTTGAGTTTTTATAACTCTTATTAGTTAGAAAAATATAAAAGACTTTTATCTATAACTAACCACATGCAATTTAAAACATAACTAAATAATTAGTGAATCAATGAATTGTTATACACCTCTGCTAAACCAAAATGGTCACAAGCTTCTTATTTATCCATGTTTAACTGACTGGAATTGTAATTTGTTACTTTGAATTTTAGAAATTTAAAACACCAAATCAGTTTGTCGTTATGTCAATGTTCAATTAAATGTTTTGGTGATGTACCTTGATATTGAGATCAGTTCTCTCAGCTATAGACTCAGCCAGCTCTATGAGATTTGTGTGGTTTGTTGCCATGAACTTGAGACTTAGTTTCATCATCCTCTGACCATAGTTTTTTAAAATCTTGGCTTTTCTTTACAAATGAAAAATGTATACATCAGTAAATATGTATTTATGATGCTGTGCAAGGACTGAAAGAAACTCATCAAATAAATTAAAAGAGTCATTAAACAATGATCAGAAGGAGTTAGCAATAATTGTCTCAGTTTTTGTCTTAGCACATTATAAATTTACAGCCTGTTCAGTTTCCAACCCATGATTTACAAAAAAAATTTTATACAAGCAGATATTCAGCGTTAGTGCATGAGTGCTAGTATAAATAAAATCTTGTTCAGCAGTGCATTTGAATGTATTAAGCTACTAGGTATATTGTCTAGCTATGCTTAGGTTTTAAAATAAAGAAATTGAGAATATGATTAATTTTTTGGTGATCGATTTAAAGATTTTGAGTAATTGTATCATTTTATGCAAATATGCTTGGTGTATTCTCAAATTTCTTACTCGCAAAGTTATAGAACTGCAAAGGCTTCATTAATATTATAAATCAAAGATTATATTAAATTCAGTTTCGCGATTAATTTTTTACAATTTGAGTACAATACGTACTTTAATAGATAACAAAATATCTATTTAAACGAATGCTATTCTTTGTCATTTTTGTTATTTCTTTAAAATAGTATAAAAATTATTTTTAAAATATTATTTTAATAAGTTACCTCCCCTGTACAAAGACCAAATGACGTAGTGTTTGTTTACGTTTTCACAAACAATTGTTTATATAAGGAAATATGTCTGCTGGACAAATCTAACGACCATAAGAAGTTTTTTCCGACAGGAATAAGATTTTTTTGTTACCCTCCAGTGTCGGTCTCAGAGGCATAGCGACCCTTCCCGGCGCCCGGGGACAAACTTTCGATTTGCACCCCCCTCAAACTTTTCATTTGCACCCCCCCTCAAACTTTCAATTTGGCGCCCCCCCTAAGGTCGGCGCCCAGGGACATATGTCCCCCCCCCCGCCACCACCCCCCTCGCTACGCCTCTGGTCGGTCTATGACCTCACAAAATATTAGGGGGGGGGGGTCATTTGTGAATTAATTTAAATATATCTTATTTAAGGAGAATTTCACTCGCTGTCATTTTTTAGCCCTTGTCGAGGACTTTGAGTCTGACCAACAGTTTTTCCAATATGGCCTATTCATCTATAGAGGAGCATGCAAAAAATTAGCCAGATATACCCAGGTTAAGTGCCCTGAAATTTGTGTTGAAATTACCCTGTTTTTCCCATAAAATACAAAGATTATTTAGGGAAATATGACTGGTCAGTTTTGACCCATTTGCAGATTTTTCCCGGATGTGGCGAGTTTTTTATGACACCCCTATGCGTTCTCCTACTCCTCACAAAATATCAAGGGGGGGGGGGGGGGGTCGTTTGGCAAGAAATATTTTTTTGTAATATAGCTCAAATAAGGAGATTTTCACTACTGTCATCTTTTAGCCCTCGTCAAGGGCTTTGAGTCAAACCGACAAACTATCCGTATGGCCAAGCCATTTACCTAAAAGCATGCAAAAAATTAGCCAGATAAACAGAGGGTAAGTGCCCTGAAATCTTTGCTGAAATGACCCTCTGCTTTTCCCATAAAATACAAAGATCATATAGGGAAATACGAATGGTCAGTTTTGACCACTTTACGAAGTTTTCCCAGATATGCCGAGTTTTTTATGACACGGCTAGGCGTTTCCCTACCACCTCACAAAATATCAAGGGGGGGGGTCGTTCGGCAAAAGTTTTTTACATAATATAGCCCATATAAGGCGCCGTCAGTTGGTCAGTTTTGTCTCCCTCTTTGTGGAATTTTCGGCCAACCAGCACCGGCCCTTGTGTTCTATTGACCCAAGGCACTTTCCTGCCAAATTTGATGTGCCTGCAGTGCCGGGAAGTGCTTTATCGGGCACCCGACCACTTTGCTTTATATATATAGATCAGACATCTTATTGTAGTTGGTGAACATAAACATTACCTAACTACATTTGGTTTCCATCTATTATCAATATAATTTTGAAGGAGCCCATTATGTTTTATTTAATTTGTTATGCTTCATCCTTAACTTTTAGACTTTCATCTTTTAAAAAAACAGCAATTTTAAAACAATAAGCATGTCAAAAAATTTCAAAATCAACTTCTTAATACCCACATTTCTGTTGTTTCTAGCATTGAAAAAAACTTACTTTAACCCATCAAAGAAATACTCCACACTTCTTTTAAAATAGTCCAAGAAGTCTTTTATCTTGTCTTTCACTTTACCATCAATATCTTCTATGAAAGCTGGGGGTTCAAACATCAATATCAGATCCACCACTTGATCAGCCACATCCACGTGGTCCTGGCGACATGTTGCAAATATAATTTCACAACAAGCCTACATGTACCAAGATTAACTTGGCCTTAGATCTAATGGCCTATACAAAGTTCAACTTGCATATAAATGTACGTTTAGGCCTACAAACCTTTCCAATAGCCTTATGTAAACAAAATAAACAACATGCCTACATTTTCACATTTAGACTAACCTCCAGTTTATTTAAACTTAAGAGAAATAACAAAAACATGTTTAACTTGCAGACTACATTGTTACATTTTGGAGAGTTTGAGCATGTGACAACCAAATTTGTTCAAATGTGAGCAAAGATTTTATGGACCTGAATTATTCTCTTCTATGTCATTTTGGGCTCACAACTTTTAACCTTCTGTACAAAAATAGAGAAATAAAAATAGTTCTGAATAGGCCTACCTTCCAGTTGACAGATTTGCAGTTGCTGGAGATATTGTAGGCTGCCTTCATTGTGTCTCTATGAGGACGTTTAAACAAAGGAATGAGCATCTCCACCCATGACCTTGACATTGTTTTGTTACTGTAACAAAAAAAATTGTAGTTTTAGCTCAAACTGGAAAAATTTCATTGCTTTAAAAAAAATGAAAATAAATACAATAACTCTGATATTTATTACCAAACCATAAGCAAATTCATTATCATATCTATCACATTACTTTTAAAACCAATGTGGATAATTTTGTATTCTTTTAGTTTATTTGTACATTTTTTTTTACTTCAACTAAGGTGTCATGAATAAATAATATCACCCATTTCAGATTTTTTTTTTTTTTTTACCCAACATGTCATTACAAGTATTCACATAGAGCCAGACACCTCTTGAAAATGACATCACAAAATTTAACACCATTCCCTAAAACAGCCATACTTCTAATGTAATTTAAAGATTACTCATCAGTTTGGTTTATAAAAAACAAAATATGTTATGCCCCTCCTCCCATATTATTATAAAAGATGTCATTCTCACTCCCCATCCACCACCTCCCTAACCCCACACCCTCCAAAAGTGTATGGCATTTATGGACGACCCTTAAGTATAAAATTAAGTGTAACCTTAGGTAATTTCTTACTCAGCATATACATAGTATAGGCCATAACCAACAATATCATCAGCAAATCTATCCTCAAGAAACTTGTCTTTAATCTCTTCCAGCAGAGAGCAAAAACGTTTGCACATGCTATCAAAAAGTTCTGCATTTTTCTGAAATTTATTTTTTAAAATAATGAACAATCATAATTTTTCCTCAATATATTTTCAATAAATAGAGTGCTATTTGTCTTGATCAAACTGTACCTAAAGAAAAATATTCTCAAACAAACAATTCTTAAATTTTAAAAAATACAATTACTGAAAATCCTTTCTTGGGAGTTTTCCTGAAAAAACTGGTAATTTCATACAAAAGTTGGACTGTATGATCCTCCTCTTTACCAGTATAAGTACATTTAGATACAGCCAACATAAGATCAAACACTTCATTATACAGCTCTTCGATCAGTCCTCTTTCACTGCAAAAAAAAAACAATATCTGATGACATGTAATAGCGATCAATTAATTAAGTTAATGCAATTATATTAGACTTGGTTTTTGAGACCACAGTTCTAAAGTCAAGTACAATTCATTTCAAGAGTTTAAATTATTCAGAATAAATAAAGATAAAGTTATACTGGAATTAATTTATTGAGATGCAAAATATTCTGTTCTATTTGATTAAAACATGGCTGAACATCATGTTAATTAAAGATTGTTAAACCACATTTTAAAGTACATTAAAGCATTTGTTCAGTTTAATAAAAATTCAGGTTGAATATTGTGTAATTAAAGGTTTTTAAAACCACATTTCAAAGTATAATGAGACATTTGTTCAGTTTAAGAAAAATTTCAAGTCTTGTAAAGAACTCTTATTTTAAAATGAATAAACAACAAATAAGTAAAGTAAAATAGGCTAACATAGTTCTAAAAGTTTTAACAAATAAATATGAATACCCTATTTGTTCCATGAATTTTGCCATAAAATATCTAACATTTCTTCTTGGGATGAATGTTTTGCTGGTAAAAATCTGCTCACACTTTTTAATGTATGCCTTGATATCCTGTACATTTGGCAGGTACTAAAATTTTTCAGAAAAGGTTTTTTTTTTTTAAATCAATTAATTGGATGCCTACATCAGTTCTAATTTTACAAATATTAAAATCAAGGTTTCTATGTAAAACAAAAATGTAAGAAACTAACAGAAAATGGATCTTCCAGACATTCCAACACAATTTTTCCAATGTATGAGAGCTTTCTGTAGTTCTCTTTATCAAACTTTGTACATTCCAGGATGGAATACAGCACAAAATCCAGTAAAATGTTGATTTCATCTTTAGTTTGTGATTTCCTGCAAAAATAATAAAACTGCAATGTTGAACTAAAAGACAAGCACATTGTATTTAATCTATTAATCAGTTTTAATTACTTTTTACAATATTTTAACTTCTTTTACAAAATGATTAAAAATACAATATTATGAATTGTAAAGCTTTTAATGCACCCTAAAAATGTAATCTGTAAATATAGAAAATAGATTACTCTGGGTTTGCCCTATAAATAAGGGAGGTAAGAAGGACAAAATTAGCAAAACTTTGAGCCAAGGTCTGGGCAGAAGAAGTATTTCCCTTGTACTTTGTTTTATTGTTAGCTCTGTATGCCTTAAAACTACGCAAGTTAAGACTGAAATATTACACAAAGAATATAACAAATCATGAAATTCAAGAAAAACATTTTAAAAGGGGAAGTAAGAGAGGCCAAAAATTAATAGCCATCAGCAGCTGAGCAAAGATCTGAATGAAAAATGTATAAAAGAGTCACTTAAAAATTCCTTTAAATACAAGTTGTGAAGTCTTTTATTATCCAGAGATAACTCCAAAAAAAACAACAGATACAGAAGCAGATTTAGACTGATTTTTTGTAGATATTTGTAAAATGTAACTCTCACACCTCCCAATCCATTTAACATTATTATTCATCAGTGTTTCTTCCAGACTTTTTTCTCCGGGGGGGGCACTTGAAATTTTTGGGGGGGGGGGGGGCGGTAGACTCTCTTCGGGGGGGCGGACACTGTTAAAAGTATATATTTTCTATATAAATTATATAAATTTCATTTCGTTCGGGGGGGCGAAGAGATGCCTGGAAGAAACTCTGTTATTCATTTGCTCTTTGTTTTAGCTACTATAGTTTCCTTTTTAATTAAAATAATAAATAGACTGTAGTTTAATTTTCAAAATACATATTATGCAGTTGGATGAAAATCCCACTAAATAAAGCACTTACTTCAATGTTTCTGATATCAGCTGTTTGGTAAATTTCTCATAACTGTTTAAGAAACCTTTGTCTTCCACATTTTTCTCAATCTTCGCCTGACAGCAAGAGATGGTCAAGAATTTTTCTAGTGTTGATTTGTCCAAGTCCTAATTGAGTCAATAAAAAGAATTGTATTTCTGGTAGAATTTTTATATGTACAGATTAAACAATGTACAAGCCTCTATAAAATAATTTGGTTCATTTCAGAATTAATAAAAATAAAAATGTTTTAGCATAATTACTCTTCATATCTCCTTAGAAAAAAATCTCTACAGGCAAGATCTCAGGGAACTAGATTTCTAATAGTAGGCCTACCTGGATATGATCTTTTATTTTAAGGTTACTTTTGTCAAGACATGCAGATACAAGACTTAGGTGAAGTACATTGAGATCATCATCAAGAATGCGCACCATGAAAGAATAAAATATTTCCTGAGTTTCTGAAACTTGAGCTTCATCTTTCTCCAGCAGAAACCTAAATCAAAATGCACATTTTGTAATTCATGAGGCATACGCAGGGGGGGGGGGAGCAGGGATGATATCCCACACGTCTCCAGTAGAAAAGAGCTATTAACCAAATTGTTATTTATCTTAAACAAAAGAGCTTTAATTAAAATATATGAACTTAAGTTATTAACTCGTTCAATTTCACAAGTTCGTTGAAAACGAAAGTAGCCTGGTCCCAGCCTTTTGTTTTGTACTGTGGTTTCTTTTCAACAGTCAGTAGTTGGTCACCAAGGGCAGCTAATCCCTTAGTGATAGCAGTGATGTCCCTGCTCGCCTCTTGCTTGTAACTATTGGTCCAGTCGCCGACAGCCTTTGTAAATGCTTCATAAACTTTTTTGTCATCATGTACAAATGTATTGCCTCTCACGAGGTCGTCCATAATCCTGATGGTGAAATGTTAATATTTTATGTTAATTTCCTTTATACTATAACTTGTTTTATGTCAGAACATTTTTTAGAATCGGGATTGAAAATTATTCTATTTCGAGCCGCAAAAAAAAAAAAAAGAATAGGAGTTATCTCCCATTGTTATATTTACTTCCCCTGGGCAATTTTTAAATAAATCTTACCCCCTTAACATTAATGTATTGCGCTTCTCTAATTCCTATAGTTAAATGATGCTATGTTATTAATTATTCTCTAGGGCAACGTGTCTTTGTATTAATATTTATCGTCAAAATAAGTTTGTAAATAATTCCGCAGTTATGACGATATTGTAAGTCTGTAAGCTAAAGCCTACATATTTTTATGCAAAAATATTTATGATGGCGTGAATGTTTCATTAAAATACCAATGTGTGTGATACACACAGTCAAGTTTAGCACACAAACACCTTTTTCTTCAAAGGGTCGTCCATAATAGACGCCACACTCCAAAGTGGAGAAGATTCGGGTTTCATTTTAAATCGTAATGTCAGAGACTGAATTTCATCTACTATTTCGCGTTTTTTAAAGACAGTTTTTGCTACTTGTGATAGAAATTGATTAATAGTCTAATTGCATACCAATATTTTAGAAAAATCGATTTTTAGGGGAGGTTTGGGTTGTAGGTTGAAGTGAGACGTTATTTTAAATAGGGATCTGGTTTGTTGTTTTTTGTGACGATGTGTAACGAAGGCGAGAGGAGGGGGGGACACATGGATGACTTCAAACTGACGGTTTAATTTAGTGCAAGCACGTAAGCTTCTGCGACGTTTTCACAAATACACAAACACACCTTAAGTTTATCCTACAAGCACACAAATTATACAGTGACACGTTGTATGAGTGGTCAAACACACTCTATCCCTTTCATGAGTGATCACACAGGGCTGACTCTTGTTGTAAGAGTGGTCAAACACTGACCCTTGTTGTATCTTCTTCTTCTTCTTCTTCGTTCTTAATTATTAGTGTTGAAGGGGTAGAGATTTATCTGCCAGTGGATTTGAACTCGAGACTTTGTTCGAATTTATCAACCATGACCTTTTTGCCGACTCGACCACGCCTCAATCACAATTAAGGATACGTGTCAACTGGTTATGCGCCATTGAGGCCATTGACTCCGATTTCAGCCTGCTTTTCTTTTTGGATTTGCTTCCATAGCCTTTGTCCAACCAAGAACAAACTACAAGGCAGCAGTTGTTTAATTTTGGAGTTGTCTCTCCTAGAAGAGTGGCTGTCCCCAGCTAACGAGCCTCAACTGCCCGAGGGTTCGAACTCGAGACGTTTCGGTTTAGCAACCATGAGCTTTACCGACTCAACCACGCCGACCCCTCCTTGTTGTATGAGTGGTCAAACACTGACCCTTGTTGTACGAGTGGTCAAACACTGACCCTTGTTGTATGAGTGGTCAAGCTCACATTAATCCTTGTTATATAAGTGGTCAACCTCACACTGACCCTTGTTGTACGAGTGGTCAAACACTGACCCTTGTTGTATGAGTGGTCAAACACTGACCCTTGTTGTATGAGTGGTCAAACACTGACCCTTGTTGTATGAGTGGTCAAGCTCACACTGACCCTTGTTGTATGAGTGTTCAAACACTGACCCTTGTTGTATGAGTGGTCAAGCTCACACTGACCCTTGTTGTATGAGTGGTCAAACACTGACCCTTGTTGTATGAGTGGTCAAACACTGACCCTTGTTGTATGAGTGGTCAAGCTCACACTGACCCTTATTGTACGAGTGGTCAAACACTGACCCTTGTTGTATGAGTGGTCAAACTCAGTGACTCTTATTCCAATGACCCACGGGCCACAGTCAATGAGCCATACATAGGTCCTACACATTCACATTGATGATATTACATTGTGCTTTGTAGAAACACGGTTAACTCTTTTTTTTTTTAAACTCTGAATTAAGCTTAACCAAACGGGGATTGTAACGGAAGCTTAGCTTACAATAAGGCTTACTATGTTCATTGAGAAAGTGTACTACTAAACAAAACTATACAGAGTTTAACTTAACAAAACCTAGTCAGACAACCAGGATTTTAAAAAGATTCATCGCAATACAAAACGACGAAACAAAACTCTGACAGACAAGAGTTACCTTGATAGCACAGCGTATCCTCAGCACGCACCATTATTAAAGTACACGGCTACTTCCAGTTTCTCCAATACCCAAGACCCGCCCATGTGTCGCGGAGCGATAAAACTTCCCCCAACACTCCAGTAACCTCATTTCACATCAAAAAGCCTTTTCAAGATCTACTCTATGTTCGATTCCGAAGATCGAATTATTGAACCCCGAAAAATCAATATCTGGGGAACGGACGTAGCTATGTTAAATAGATCGCTATATTCATTCTATATTTAGCCTGTCTGTCTAAATGGTAACGGGGTTTATTTACAACAAACGTACGTACATAGTTTCAACACCCCGCCCCTTTCTTCACTTTACACTCTAATTAAATATTTGCTATTGTGATCGTTTCGCAAGTCACTCGAGTAAACGAAACAGAACCCTGTTGTTATAACGTCGTATACATAGGGATTAGCGGTATTATCGAAGAGATTAGAGAGAGTTAAAAGTTTATCCAGTAAGATAAGAAGACACGGTGTTTTGGTAATGGTTTAGTAGCTGAATTATAAATTTAGATAAACCGTTACATGAGTTCTAGTGTGTGAGATTAGCTGTTAGCTGAACTTTTCAATTAACGGAGCTTTTCTCTTTTATTTCGAGGAGAGTGTTTGTTTTATGCAATAGTCCCCCACCCCCTCTCCCCTTCACCCCGGAGAAAAATAAAAGCGAGATTGTGATCCAAACCTCCTCTGTTGCGGCTCTTTAGATTCTCACGGATTTAGATCACGTATACTCTGCTTCATCTGGAACGCCGGGACTCCGATAACATAGACACCAATCTCCCCCTAGAACGCCCGGTTTTTGTATCACGTACACCATACTCCCTCCGGAAAGGGTTGCAAAAGGAGTGGATATTTTTCAGCCATGCATATTGCCAGAAGTTATCTGCCACACCATTCTACTGTTATCTGCCACACCATCCTACTGTTATCTGCCACACCATCCTACTGTTATCTGCCACACCATCCTACTGTTATCTGCTACACCATTCTACTGTTATCTGCCACACCATCCTACTGATATCTGCCACACCATCCTGTTATTTACCACACCATCTTACTGTTATCTGTAACACCATCCTACAGATATCTGCAACACCATCCTAATGTTATCTGCCACACCATCCTACTGTTATCTGCCACACCATCCTACTGTAATCTGCCACACCATCCTACTGTTATCTGCCACACCATCCTACTGTTATCTGCCACACCATCCAGTTATCTGCCACACCATCCTACTGTTATCTGCCACACCATCCAGTTATCTGCCACACCATCCTACTGTTATCTGCCACACCATCCTACTGTTATCTGCCACACCATCTTACTGTTATCTGCCACACCATCCAGTTATCTGCCACACCATCCTACTGTTATCTGCCACACCATCCTACTGTTATCGGCCACACCATCCTACTTTTATCTGCCACACCACCCTAATGTTATCTGCCACACCATCCAGTTATCTGCCACACCATCCTGTTATCTGCCACACCATCCTTCTGTTATCTGCCACACCACCCTAGTGTTATCTGCCACACCATCCTACTGTTATCTGCCACACCATCCTACTGTTATCTGTCACACCATCCTACTGTTATCTGTCACACCATCCTAATGTTAGCTGCCACACCATACTACTGTTATCTGCCACACCATCCTACTGTTATCTGCCACACCATCCTACTGTTATCTGCCACACCATCCTACTGTTATCTGCCACACCATCCTACTGTTATCTGTCACACCATCCTGTTATCTGCCACACCATCCTGCTGTTATCTGCCACACCATTCTACTGTTATCTGCCACACCATCCAGTTATCTGCCACACCATCCTACTGTTATCTGCCACACCATCCTACTGTTATCTGCCACACCATCCAGTTATCTGCCACACCATCCAGTTATCTGCCACACCATCCTACTGTTATCTGCCACACCACCCTACTGTTATCTGCCACACCATCCTGCTGTTATCTGCCACACCATCCTGCTGTTATCTGCCACACCATTCTACTGTTATCTGCCACACCATCCAGTTATCTGCCACACCATCCTACTGTTATCTGCCACACCATCCTACTGTTATCTGCCACACCATCCTACTGTTATCTGCCACACCACCCTACTGATATCTGCCACACCATCCTACTGTTATCTGCCACACCATCCTACAGTTATCTGCCACACCATCCTGCTGTTATCTGCCACACCATCCTGCTGTTATCTGCCACACCATCCTACTGTTATCTTCCACACCATCCTACAGTTATCTGCCACACCATCCTACTGTTATCTGCCACACCATCCTACTGTTATCTGCCACACCATCCTACTGTTATCTGCCACACCATCCTACAGTTATCTGCCACACCATCCTACTGTTATCTGCCACACCATCCTACAGTTATCTTCCACACCATCCTACAGTTATCTGCCACACCATCCTACTGTTATCTGCCACACCATCCTAATGTTATCTGCCACACCATCCTACTGTTATCTGCCATACCGTCCTACTGTTATCTGCCACACCATCCTACTGTTATCTGCCACACCATCCAGTTATCTGCCACACCATCCTACTGTTATCTGCCACACCATCCAGTTATCTGCCACACCATCCTACTGTTATCTGCCACACCATCCTACTGTTATCTGCCACACCATCTTACTGTTATCTGCCACACCATCCAGTTATCTGCCACACCATCCTACTGTTATCTGCCACATCATTCTACAGTTATCTGCCACACCATCCTACTGTTATCTGCCACACCATCCTACTGTTATCTGCCACATCATCCTGTTATCTGTCACACTATTCTGTTATCTGCCACACCATCCTACTGTTATCTGCCACACCACCCTACTGATATCTGCCACACCATCCTACTGTTATCTGCCACATCATTCTACAGTTATCTGCCACACCATCCTACTGTTATCTGCCACACCATCCTACTGTTATCTGCCACACCATCCTACTGTTATCGGCCACACCATCCTACTTTTATCTGCCACACCACCCTAATGTTATCTGCCACACCATCCAGTTATCTGCCACACCATCCTGTTATCTGCCACACCATCCTTCTGTTATCTGCCACACCACCCTAGTGTTATCTGCCACACCATCCTGTTATCTGCCACACCATCCTTCTGTTATCTGCCACAACATCCTAATGTTATCTGCCACACCATCCTGTTATCTGCTACACCATCCCACTGTTATCTGCCACACCATCCTACTGTTATCTTCCACACCATCCTGTTATCTGCCACACCATCCTACAGTCATCTGACACACAATTCTACTGCTATCTTTTATATATCTAAAATGTATTTACAGAATACATTTGATACAAAAACATAACAAATTTTTAGCAATGAAAACAGACACTAGCTATAATGTTTGTTTCTTACAGGAATTTTTTTTTCCAATTACAACACTCTATTCCATAAGGGATCCCCATTCAACTTAATCGTAGTTCTCATATTTTAAAAATAAAAAATTGTTAATTGTAAAATTGTAAAACAAACTTTTCTTTTTAGATTTTTTTTAAAAGTTTATTTGAAATAAATAATTATAAATAAATATATGCAAACAGAAAAGAAAGTATCTAAAATAAAATTGACATAAAGTATTTCACAATTATTTGTCTCATGACTAACACAAAATTTAAAATAAATAAGCCTAATTTTAGAACAACTATTTCGATAGTTTTTTGTATTGTGATGGTGGGGGCTTTGAGACAGATGATTTTTGTGTTGCATTTTGAGAAGGGGCTGGAGTTGCCTCACTTGATTGTTCTAAGGGGGGTAATTTTGAAGGCCTTCGTGTCTGAGAATTAGGAGCTGGTTTTACCGTTGGTTTGTTTCCTGTTTGTTTTGGAGGCTCTGGTTTTGTTGTAGAGTTTTTGTTCTGGCTGGCTGGAGAGGTTTTCAAAGGTTCAGATGAAATAGGTTTGAGCAACGGTTTAGATGAGGGTGTGGGTAAACTACTGTCAGCAGGAGCAGGGGGTTTAGTGGTAGCAGGAGAAATCTTCCTTACTGGAGGTACTTTTGTAAGTGGCAGTTTTTTAACTGGGCTGGTTTGTGGAGGGGGTTTCACTGAAGGTTGGGTTTGAGTGGTTTGGGGTGGGGATGTTAATGGGGGTGTTTTACTCAAGGAAATCTTTTGTGTTGAAGTATTATTACCTACTGGCTGCACTGGTTTTGAGGAGGGTTTTATAGGGCTCAAAGAAGAAGGCTTGGTTAGTGGTTTGTTAGTTGCTGTGTCCAAAGATTGGGGTTTAGAAGGGTTTACGGTTGGGCTTGTTTTTTCTTTAGATAAAGGTCTAGTTGATGTTGTTTGCTTGCTTGGTTCTAGGGTTGAGTGTTGATTAGTGGCATCTGAGCTTTGGTTTATATATTTAACTGGAACATGTTCATGTATCTTGCTTAGAAGTTCATCAAATTTGGGACCGTCCCAAGTCATTTGGACAGATTCATCCTAAAAGAAAACATAATAAATAAAAACTGTAATTAAATAGTTTTTTTTCAACAATTTTCTAATAATGCTTTTCTAACTCATTTGACTAAAAAGCTAGAAATTGGTGACACTTTATAGAAATTACTGGTGGAGTCAAAGAAAAGTAGGCTAGTCTTAAAAGTCAAATGAAATCTAGTTTCATCAGATGTTTTTTTTTATGAAAAAATCATCCAAATACAAATTAAACAAGATACCACCTTTCTCATGGTTATTATATTTTAATTTTTTTTTAATTTTCATTTGCCATTGACTGAATATTTTGGTGTATTTTAAAAATAGTTTGGAAGACACTGATAAATTATTTAATAGAATTAGAAATTAAGAAGTCTTGAGAATCTTGTCGTAAAAATGTTGATGTACAAAAGCGGTGTCATGACCTTACCTTAGCAAAGCTGATGTACAAAAGCTGTGTCATGAGCTTACCTTAGCAAAGTTGATGTACAAAAGCTGTGTCATGACCATACTCATAGGTCCAGCTGGTGGCCAGGTCATCTGCTCCATCAGTAAAGGTACCAGCGGTTTCTTCAGTGCATCGGTCAAGCTGACCTCACGTCTGCAGTTGGCAGAGAGGGCATACTTTTGTGTCACACATGACAAGACGACCTTACAGCCACGAATACCTCTGTCAATTTTGTCAAAGAGGGAGTCGCCTCCCCCCATTTGTTTGATGTCCAGCCAACAGCTGAAGCCAAGAGAGGTCAGGCGTTCATAAAGTTTGATGATGTTTTTCTGTTTGCCCCATTGGTACGAGATGAAAACATCTGGCGAATCTGATGCCTAAGAAAAAAAAATCATCATACAGTATAGCATTACAAAATATATTCTTACATTCTGAAAATCTTTAAGCACTCATGGTTTCTAATAACTGAATAAGTTAAGTCTCACCTTTTTATCTAATTCTGTTTGAATTGTTTCGGATGCTTGGCCTCCATTTTGTGTTTTACTTTTGTCAATTTTAATTTCTTCAACAACCGGCATCCACCAGTTTCTGTACACTGCAAACATTTTAAAATTATCAATCTTTTCCAGATCCAATTTGCCATATTTTTCACATCATTTTTTAATTGTAAGTTAATTATTGTAAGAGTACTTAACTGTATCTTATTTTAATTCATTAAAAAAATTGTCTCTTGAAAAAAAAGAGATTAAAGAATAACTAAAATTAGAACATTTTAAAATTCAATAAATCTACCTGGTTGCACCTTCTCCTCATCTGGAGGTAGACCCAGCACATTAAACTGCATGAGCAACTCTTGAAATTTGTCTTTGGGCCAAAACCTTTGATCCTCCAGTTCCTCCCCTTTACGTTGAAAGAATCGGATGAACAGATACTCACTGAAAATTGGCCCCATTGAGCCAGGGGGTGGCCAGGGACATTGTTCCAGTAGTAAAGGTATTATAGGTTTGTTTAGACTCACTGACAAATTTACCTGGAATTTAAGGGCAATAGTTAGGAAATATACTGATGATCCTGATAAATGATATGATGGCCTAATTAATTGTGAACATGAAAGAAAACAAGTAATTAAAAAAAAGTCTAGAGACAATTTTAGCGCGATTTCCTTATGTTATCTAAAAATAGCTCTGTCGTAGCGTAAATCAAGAGCAGGGTTAGTAAAACCATTGGTTAGTTATTAAAACATTTTTTATTAATTTTTTTTTCAGTATTTTACATGTTTTATTTACAATAGAGTAACATGACTAAAAACCATTGAGCGCCTAGCTACCGAACGTGATGTCGCAGCCATTGAACGTGATGGCGCAGCTATTGAACGTGATGACGCATGTGGTGTGGTTGGATAAAATGCCTACTAATTCGGTCCAAATTTTAATTAATTCAAAAAAAATTTTGTGACCGAACAAAAGGATATTTTTGAAAACTTTCTTCGGCAATATTGTTCTACATTATGGCAGGAATCGATTGGTACATGTTTCAAGTCGCTAAGTGGTATGGTTGCCGAGATATGGGCCAAAAACTGCATTTTTTCGAGGTTTTTTGGCTTTTCCGGGATATCCATGAAAGAAACCCGGAATTTTTTTGGCCTTTGTTCATCCTGATTACTTGCTTAACATATTTGCTTTTGGAACTAGTCCTCGATATTGCTTCGTTGAGGAGGAGATACGACTTAAAGCTGTGGACACACATCCATCCATCTATTCATCCATTCCCAGAAAAGACGAGTTAATAAACGCAATTCTCCAGAATGGAAATTGCGCTAAAAAGTTAAATAATTTGGATTTTCTACAAAAGTTATCATTTTTAAAAAATTATTGTTAAACAGACTTCAGCATGTATCTAAACATTAATATGTAAAGTAGAGACAAGGTTTTTGAATAAATGTGAGTTATATTTCTATAATTTAAAAAATTGGAAATTGAAACTTTTTTCTCAGGTAGATTATTTTTAAATATCAATTTAATTGTGTTAGAAATATTCGTTTAAAAACTGACCTCTCTGTTGCAGTTGGGAGACTTGGCATACTTTGTTGTGACACAACTAATGACCACTTTAGCTGCTCTGATCCCTGTGTCAATTTTCTCAAACAGTTTGTCCCCACCCCCCATTTGACCAACGTCCAGCCAGCACTCATATCCAGCCATTTCCAAATGTTGCTTTAGAAGTTTCACTTCATTCTGATGGCCCCACTGGTAGCTTATAAATATTGGTGGAGGAGAGGCATATTCAAAGGCTTCGTCTTCTACAACAGCCTCTGTGATGTAATGAAAAAAACTTTTAAGAATTCATTACAATATAAGATAACATAACATATAAAATTACAAGACCTACACAATACCTACCAACATTACATACAAAGTTTTAAGATTAAACATAATTTTAAAAGTATTAAATCAACTTTAAATATTTAAACCTTACCAGCATTTTTCATGGCATTTTCCACAATAATTGCAGCATCCATTCTGTCCATTTCTTGCAACTGTGTCAGTATGGAAAGAGTTGCTTCACTTGTTTTATGAGTTGCATACCTTTATTTTAAAAAAAAAAAAGATATTCAGTGCATGTTCTCTGATCATGTAAATAAAATTAAGTATTGTAAAATACATGCAATTTCTTTTTAATTGGTTGGAATCAATTAATATATTAGCAAAATATTTAGTATGGAAAGAGTTGCTTCACTTGTTTTATGAGTTGCGTACCTTGATTTTTAAAAAAAAAGATATTCAGTGCATGTTCTCTGATCATGCTAATAAAATTAAGTATTGTAAAATACATGCAATTTCTTTTTAATTGGTTGGAATCAATTAATATATTAGCAAAATATTCAGTCTATTTTCTATTTAACTGGTTAAAATCTAAACTAGTCTTATCTAAAAGCTTACCATTCATTCAACATAGCCATACAAGGATCTGCCTGTTGTGCCCAACCTCTGATGTCATCATTGCTGTACTGTAATCTTTTGCTCAGCAGACACCAATCATGCTCTGAAGTTGGGTTCAAAAGTTTTGATATATCTCTCGACCAGTAAGGGGCATGGCTAAGTGTCTGCGAAGTAAGTAATAAAATGTAAATCAATGTAAAAAAAATTAATTTGATTGTACTGGATTAGAAAGACAAAATGAATACAATATTTTTTTATAAAGTTTATTTAAATATTTGTTTCGGTTACTCAATGCCTAATATAATAGGCCTATTACTGAAGTTGTCTATAAATTCAATAAGCATTTTTTTAAATTGTATTTTAAACTTTTTAGACTTTTACTTACCTTTTGGTCAATCTCTTCAACTTTTGCAACAGTTTCCTCCACAGTAGTCTCAACTTTGTCTAACCTTTGACCTTGCTCCTTGACCTCATTCTGCACATTATTTATCTGGGCCCCTTGTTTCTCAACTTCCCCTTTTACTTCAGCCAGGGATTCCTCTGTGTCATCAACTCTTCCAATCAGATTGTTCAATTCTTCTTCTTGTTTCTTCATTTGTTTTACTATTTCATCAGAGCTAAAGCAAAACAAACTCTTGTAGTGTAATTAAATTATTATTTTTTAAAATGTATGGCAAAAAAAAGTATTTAAAGTAAGAAGACACACACTAGGAAAATCAGCATTTTGCAAGCACAAACTGTGCAGTAGCACAGAGCTCCTTAAATAATTGCAGTGAACATTTCAAAAGGCTTGTGTTGACTACAAAACAAGAAAGGAAAAATAATGAAAGAAAATGTGTCTGATTCCTAGTCCAAAGGTGCAGTTTATGCAAGTGGGAAGTCTTATAATTTAGTTTTACAACTAAAATTATGACTGTTATTATATTGACAGTGTTGAGTGAAGGGGACACCAATATCTTCTCCGCCCTCAGTGAACAAATTCATCCTTCAGTGTAATTATTAATATAAAAAAAATGTCGATGCTCTTACATTCTTATAAAAAGAAAACTTAAATAGGCTTATAATTGTAAAACTTTGTTGTTATTCAATATTTAACATAAACAGAAAGTAGAAGAGACCAAAGCAAAGACTAATAACATACACTTACGTTTTTCCATCAATCATGTCCAAAACTAATTTCTTCAAATTCAAGACATCTGGATCTACAAAAGAAATAGCTTCTAACACTGATCTTTTAGGTTTCAACAAATCTGGGTATTTAAATCCAATCATTCTTATGGCATTGGTTGTTGTCAATTGAACAGTTTTTTCTGTTGTCCCTTTGAGTGTCAGAAACAGATCATCCAGCACTTTTGATGCAACATCCTGTTTTAAAGATTTAAAAGCTCAACGTTTGTGAAGTGGCATTTTGTTCAATTAGCAGAGGCCTAAGTAGACCACCATAAAAGGCACTAGTAAAGCATCATTTCAAACCACCTTAAAGTCCATGGAGGGAGGTGAACAATGTCATATGAAGGGATAGTGTGGTGAGCACAATGCCAGGTACCTATCAGAGCTGGGTGGGATTAAGGGACATCCTAGGGACTCGCGCCAGGGATCCAACAAGACTTTTGGGTTAGGGGTCGTCCATAAATGAAATCACACACGTAGGGGGGAGGGGGGTCTGTAATTTTGTGACGGTGTGTGATGAGGGGGGGGGGAGGGTTCAGATGATGTGAGTTCACACTTTTGCATTCTAAAAAAAAAGAAATGTTAGAAAACGAGTTTTAGCTGTTAGTTCGCGTTTTAGAAAACTGTTTTAATCAATTGTAACAGGAATTGATTAAAATACTTTATGTTGACAGAGTTCAGACAAGAGTTTGGAAAAATATCGATGTTTTATGAAAAATTCAACTGCAATTTCAAGAGGGGTTGTAAGCTGAGATATGACGTCATTAGCGGGGGGTCTGGCTTTGACAATGTGTGACGAAGGGGATGGGGGTAAAAATTGTCAAAAAAACGTGTGACGTCATTTATGGATGGCCCCTTATCAGTCACATGCACGACCATTATAAAAGCATTGGTGTTTCATAATTAAAAAAGGTTAAGTGTAAAAATAGTTTTAAAATCAAACTACATTCTAAAATGTAAATATGTCCTTTCTTACTTTGTTGAAGAAAGCCAGGGTTGTCAGTATATCTGTTATAAAATAGTTCACCATAGAATTCCACAATGTTTTATCCATAAAAACATCAATTTGTTTCAGCAGGCTCTCTGGGCGCCTTTTGCACAATTCTTGAATAATCATTAGAATTTGTACTTGTGAGTTGATATTTTCCTGTGCTTTTTCTATTAGAACTTCAATGTGATGGTCTGTGAAAAGCTGTCATGAAAAGTTTGAGATTATTGTGGCGTATTTAACTAACTAAATGTTTTATTTTAAAATTGTACAAATCAATTTGATTACAATCATTTTCAAAGTTTCAAACCAATGCAAACCTCAATTTTTTTTTAAAATGGAAAACTTGTTGGCTCTATTTTTTTCTAATTTCAGTTACAAAATAGTACAACAAATTGATTTGCCCAAAGTGATAAAGTACACTACAAATCATACACCATAGGTGCCAAAAGTTAGTGTTTCAAGTTAAATAAATAGATCAGCCTACAGAAATGAAAAATTGTATTACCTCTGCTTGTTTCTTAGACACTTTCTGTAAAAGCATTGGAATATACATCTGCACCGTTGGATCTCCACTTTCCTCATAGTGTTCCATTATTTGTGGGAAATAATTTCTCAGTGCTTTAGGGTTGGTGGGATATATTTCATTTACTGCCTCTAGAAAAAAAAATCATTCATTCATTAATAAAATAGAAAAACATTAAGGATTCGTGCATGCATGCTCTAATACTTTTCTAAATAGATAACTTGTTTAAAAATAGTAAACTTACTAAAACTGAAAATGAGACTGATAACTTACGTAAAAGTTGTGTATTTTCCTTCTCAAGATATGCCTCAATTAATTTATCTAGGTAAGGGGCGACAGCTTTGTGACCTGATGGAACCATCCCAAAATAGTTCAAGTGTGAGGCAGAAATACTAACAGAATTACTATCATCGACATCTAGGAGTTCAATTATTTTTGGCACCAAATCAGCAGCAAGATTCATTTTATTTAAGGCTTGAAGCTGAAGCAAAAAAAATTTAATAAACTTTTAGCAAGTGATTTAAAGTGGGACAGCATGGTCAAATGGAAAAGCATTTGGCTGGGTCTTGAGTTAGGATCTCAGTTTGAACTTCTGACTGTAGGACATCTTTGAGCCCACCCAGCTCAGATGGGTAACTGACTTACATTGGGGAAAGTAAAAGCAGCTGGGTGTATAGCTGACCATACCATCCCTTCATTAGCAAAGGTCAAGAAACATGAAATCTACTTCACCTGCCCAATGGATTGCTAGGTCTAAAGAAGAAACTTCGTGTTATTTAAACTCCAAATCATATACAGACTCTTTGCTATTGAAAATAACTAAATAAGACCTTGATGAGCTAATTAGTAGTCATTCATTGACTAATGCTATCTGTAATATAGATTGTATTTTGTCTACAAAATGTTACTTTTAGCCTAGAATTAAAAGCACAAACAACATAACAAGACAACAACTGTTAATTGAAAGACTTACCCATCTGTTGAGTGGGTTTATGATGGACAAGAAAATGGAGTAGTGGATTGAAGGGAACTGACCAGTGTCAGGGTTTATGCAGTCATATTTGAGACAGGTTAGACATATAGACACAAATAGTTGAATGTCTTCATCTGTTAAAATTTTTCCATCTCTGTAAAGAAACCAAAAGTATCTAAAGAACCAGGCTTTTACACAGTATTAACATTTCAGAAGGGGATGGTGTGGCCTAGGGGTAGAGAGCTAGGCTGTAAACCCAAAAGTCTCAAGTTTGAATCTGTGTTTAAGTCAGTAGAATGTCACTGAGTCCACCCAGCTTCAATGGGTACCTAACTCATGTTAGGGAAAGCAAAGGCAGCTGGGCATAGTTCTGACCACACTATTCCTTAATGTGCCAAGGTCTCTGAAACAGATTCATCTGCCACATGTGTCTTGGGTACAAACGGGAAAAGATAATGAAGATTTCAGATGTACATTTTTCAGGTAGTCTACTGATGTACATTTTTCAGGTAGTCTAATGATGTACATTTTTCAGGTAGTCTACTGATGTACATTTTTCAGGTAGTCTACTGATGTACATTTTTCAGGTAGTCTACTGATGTACATTTTTCAGGTAGTCTACTGATGTACATTTTTCAGGTAGTCTACAGATGTACATTTTTCAGGTAGTCTACTGATGTACATTTGTCAGGTAGTCTACTGATGTACATTTTTCAGGTAGCCTACTGATGTACATTATTCAGGTAGCCTACAGATGTACATGTTTCAGGTAGTCTACTGATGTACATTTTTCAGGTAGTCTACTGATGTACATTTTTCAGGTAGCCTACAGATGTACATTTTTAACACGTTTTTCTTAACTCAGCTTCGCGTTTGTTTGTTTGTTGTTAAAATTGACATCGAAAATTAGCCCACTTCTGATTGCTCTATAGATCTGAAAGTTGGCATGCAGGTTACTTTCGCCTAACAATTTCAGATGCAATCATAAAAACTAGCAATTAGAGACCGTAATTAGCTTAATTTAATTACGCCCCAAGGACCATAAAATTGAGGACATGATTTCTAAAGATACCGACAAGACTGGAGGCTTATTGACACAGTTACTTCGGCCCTAATCGATGTGAGCGCGCTGGCCGTGATCGTATAGTGGTTAGTACTTCGCGTTGTGGCCGCGACAACCCAGGTTCGAATCCTGGTCGCTCAAGATTTTTTTAGTCCGTGTTTTTATAAACACTTAGTCAATTCATACTTAATCAAGTCATTAGATAAAGTAGAAAATAAACTATATAAAAAACTTTTTTAAAAACCACGTTTTTCATGTGTAGCAAACTGACTAAAAAGGAGAAAATAAAATACTTAAAAAAAACTTTTTAAAAAACCACGTTTTTCTTGTGGACTAAAAAGTGGAAAATAACTATTTACATACATTTGATGACAAAAAACGTGGGTCGGGCAGATGGGTCGGGAAATTTGATGGTGAACGTACCCACGTTTTTTGTCATCAAATGTATGTAAATAGTTATTTTCCACTTTTTAGTCCACAAGAAAAACGTGGTTTTTTAAAAAGTTTTTTTTAAGTATTTTATTCAGGTAGTCTACAGATGTACATTTTTCAGGTAGTCTACTGATGTACATTTGTCAGGTAGTCTACTGATGTACATTTTTCAGGTAGCCTACAGATGTACATTTTTCAGGTAGCCTACAGATGTACATTTTTCAGGTAGTCTACTGATGTACATTTTTCAGGTAGTCTACTGATGTACATTTTTCAGGTAGCCTACAGATGTACATTTTTCAGGTAGTCTACAGATGTACATTTTTCAGGTAACCTACAGATGTACATTTTTCAGGTAGTCTACTGATGTACATTTTTCAGGTAGTCTACAGATGTACATTTTTCAGGTAGTCTACTGATGTACATTTGTCAGGTAGTCTACTGATGTACATTTTTCAGGTAGCCTACAGATGTACATTTTTCAGGTAGCCTACAGATGTACATGTTTCAGGTAGTCTACTGATGTACATTTTTCAGGTAGTCTACTGATGTACATTTTTCAGGTAGTCTACTGATGTACATTTTTCAGGTAGCCTACAGATGTACATGTTTCAGGTAGTCTACTGATGTACATTTTTCAGGTAGTCTACTGATGTACATTATTCAGGTAGCCTACAGATGTACATGTTTCAGGTAGTCTACTGATGTACATTTTTCAGGTAGTCTACTGATGTACATTATTCAGGTAGCCTACAGATGTACATGTTTCAGGTAGTCTACTGATGTACATTTTTCAGGTAGTCTACTGATGTACATTTTTCAGGTAGCCTACAGATGTACATTTTTCAGGTAGTCTACTGATGTACATTTTTCAGGAAGTCTACTGATGTACATTTTTCAGGTAGCCTACAGATGTACATTTTTCAGGTAGTCTACAGATGTACATTTTTCAGGTAGTCTACAGATGTACATTTTTCAGGTAGTCTACTGATGTACATTATTCAGGTAGTCTACTTATGTACATTTTTCAGGTAGTCTACAGATGTACATTATTCAGGTAGCCTACAGATGTACATGTTTCAGGTAGTCTACTGATGTACATTTGTCAGGTAGCCTACAGATGTACATTATTCAGGTAGTCTACAGATGTACATTTTTCAGGTAGTCTACTGATGTACATTTGTCAGGTAGTCTACTGATGTACATTTTTCAGGTAGCCTACAGATGTACATTTTTCAGGTAGCCTACAGATGTACATGTTTCAGGTAGTCTACCGATGTACATTTTTCAGGTAGTCTACTGATGTACATTATTCAGGTAGCCTACAGATGTACATGTTTCAGGTAGTCTACTGATGTACATTTTTCAGGTAGTCTACAGATGTACATTTTTCAGGTAGTCTACTGATGTACATTTTTCAGGTAGCCTACAGATGTACATTTTTCAGGTAGTCTACTGATGTACATTTTTCAGGTAGTCTATTGATGTACATTTTTCAGGTAGCCTACAGATGTACATTTTTCAGGTAGTCTACTGATGTACATTTTTCAGGTAGTCTACTGATGTACATTTTTCAGGTAGCCTACAGATGTACATTTTTCAGGTAGCCTACAGATGTACATTTTTCAGGTAGTCTACTGATGTACATTTTTCAGGTAGTCTACTGATGTACATTTTTCAGGTAGTCTACTGATGTACATTTTTCAGGTAGCCTACAGATGTACATTTTTCAGGTAGCCTACAGATGTACATTATTCAGGTAGCCTACAGATGTACATGTTTCAGGTAGTCTACTGATGTACATTTTTCAGGTAGTCTACTGATGTACATTTTTCAGGTAGTCTACTGATGTACATTATTCAGGTAGCCTACAGATGTACATGTTTCAGGTAGTCTACTGATGTACATTTTTCAGGTAGTCTACTGATGTACATTTTTCAGGTAGCCTACAGATGTACATTTTTCAGGTAGCCTACAGATGTACATTTTTCAGGTAGTCTACTGATGTACATTTTTCAGGTAGTCTACTGATGTACATTTTTCAGGTAGCCTACAGATGTACATTTTTCAGGTAGTCTACAGATGTACATTTTTCAGGTAACCTACAGATGTACATTTTTCAGGTAGTCTACTGATGTACATTATTCAGGTAGTCTACAGATGTACATTTTTCAGGTAGTCTACTGATGTACATTTGTCAGGTAGTCTACTGATGTACATTTTTCAGGTAGCCTACAGATGTACATTTTTCAGGTAGCCTACAGATGTACATGTTTCAGGTAGTCTACTGATGTACATTTTTCAGGTAGTCTACTGATGTACATTATTCAGGTAGCCTACAGATGTACATGTTTCAGGTAGTCTACTGATGTACATTTTTCAGGTAGTCTACAGATGTACATTTTTCAGGTAGTCTACTGATGTACATTTTTCAGGTAGCCTACAGATGTACATTTTTCAGGTAGTCTACTGATGTACATTTTTCAGGTAGTCTACTGATGTACATTTTTCAGGTAGCCTACAGATGTACATTTTTCAGGTAGCCTACAGATATACATTTTTCAGGTAGTCTACTGATGTACATTTTTCAGGTAGTCTACTGATGTACATTTTTCAGGTAGTCTACTGATGTACATTTTTCAGGTAGCCTACAGATGTACATTTTTCAGGTAGCCTACAGATGTACATTATTCAGGTAGCCTACAGATGTACATGTTTCAGGTAGTCTACTGATGTACATTTTTCAGGTAGTCTACTGATGTACATTTTTCAGGTAGTCTACTGATGTACATTATTCAGGTAGCCTACAGATGTACATGTTTCAGGTAGTCTACTGATGTACATTTTTCAGGTAGTCTACTGATGTACATTTTTCAGGTAGCCTACAGATGTACATTTTTCAGGTAGTCTACTGATGTACATTTTTCAGGTAGTCTACTGATGTACATTTTTCAGGTAGCCTACAGATGTACATTTTTCAGGTAGCCTACAGATGTACATTTTTCAGGTAGTCTACTGATGTACATTTTTCAGGTAGTCTACTGATGTACATTTTTCAGGTAGCCTACAGATGTACATTTTTCAGGTAGTCTACAGATGTACATTTTTCATGTCACCTACAGATGTACATGTTTCAGGTAGTCTACTGATGTACATTTTTCAGGTAGTCTACTGATGTACATTTTTCAGGTAGCCTACAGATGTACATTTTTCAGGTAGTCTACTGATGTACATTTTTCAGGTAGTCTACTGATGTACATTTTTCAGGTAGCCTACAGATGTACATTTTTCAGGTAGCCTACAGATGTACATTTTTCAGGTAGTCTACTGATGTACATTTTTCAGGTAGTCTACTGATGTACATTTTTCAGGTAGCCTACAGATGTACATTTTTCAGGTAGTCTACAGATGTACATTTTTCATGTCACCTACAGATGTACATTTTTCAGGTAGTCTACTGATGTACATTTTTCAGGTAGTCTACTGATGTACATTTTTCAGGTTGTGACCTACTTAGGTCGAGTCATTTTTATTTTGACATTGTATAGTTCCTTATATGGAATGATTGTGTAACACCTGGGGTTTTTCCATTGACTATTAAGGTGTTTGAGACATAGAAAATTTCCATTAAAATCTGATTGAATGATTCTGATCAGATG